AATGAAGTTAATAAGACCTCGTTGAGGTTTGATCCGATGGTTTTAATGTCGAACTCAACCGGAACTCGTAACACGTCTCCACTCTGCAAGTTCTATTTGTGAACCTCACCGAGTTATGCTGTAGGTTGGCTTCAAGCGCAAGTTGAGGCGTCAACCAGACACATACTCAACAAAGAAATGTGCTGTATTCCCCTCTGCCCGTAACTCCCCCACCCCTCCCCATATTCCTCCCTTCCCTACACTTACCCTCTCTTAGGTATCTCCTAAAACATAAATAGCAGTTAAAAAGCTATTCAGTCCGTCACGTAACCACTCTGTGTTTAATGCAATTCAAGTACTGTATCTTCACGTGCAATCAGTCACTGTCCCTGAATCAGATACTGATAGTTATTCAGAGATTTCACATGCGAGAGAGAGGTTACACAGCTGACGTTCTCTGGACAGATTGTTGAATAATTTCTTGTGTATTTATCTTTCTACTGGGTGGTCGTTGGCACGTCGTCAAGTAGCAAAGTGTTGGACTGCCCCAAACAGTAGCCTGTTGTAGTTAACTGTATTCACGACACGACCTGTCAAGCGACTACCAAGATTTCGGAAGGTGAACTAGACGGACCTCGGTCTTCTTTCGCCCAGCAAAGTCTTATGTCCTTGTGTATTCCACTCATGTGAGGATGAGTGGAGAAAAGCACCACCTTAGACCAGTGGAGCACAGCGGTTGGGATCGATTCAATCCTGATTCGGGCGCTAAACATATATTTAAAAGAAATAAAATCAATCGTTCACTTCACTGGCTGTTTGTTGCATGTTGCTGTGCACAAATTGTATGCTGCGACCGCCTACAAAATACACAGTCACTACACTTTACAGTGTAGACTCTGGAGCTGTCCTCCTGACGTGAAAGGCGCTGTGTCAAATATAAGGATTATTATTGTTAATATTATTACGTGCAGGAAGAGAAGAGGAAATGTAAGGACTATTATTCTTTTACTACAAATTGTCCGGAGGACGTTTCACAGTGCTTCACAGAGATTATTGTGAAGTGTAGTGTCTGCATATATTTTAGGCAGCCAAGCTGTCCCACTTAACAGCTAATTCAAAAAATTGTGACTTTCCAGCCTGTAATTGTTGCTCAGCCCACTCGCTTTTGTCCTTTTATCAGTGCTGGAGGCTAAACCCTTGCCTTGGGCACACCTAGTTGGGCTGTTACCCAATTTACCACAAAAAGACTTTATTGCTTCCCGAGGGGAGAGATTCCCATCACTGTTTAAGCAGCGCTCCTCCTAGAGGAACCCTATGGAAACTATAGAGTCCATTTCACCAACAGTTCCATCTTCATAGCAATCAGATGTTTACAAGGAACTGGAATAGCTACAACATCCTGTTGCTTATGTCTGCCAGACTCTGATGTGTTTGCTTTAAACAATGAGTGCAGGCCACCGCTTCAGAGAGATGAGGAGTTATTGAAGCTGGCAGTCAGAGGGAGCTGAATTAGCATCCATCTGTCAGCGGAGATGTTTACTAACCAGTGGTGCTCCAATGACTGTTAATACTCTTCTCGGATTTCTGAGTGACCGAACCCACCCCAGAGAAATTATTTTTTTTCCCCGAACCAAAAAAAACACTGGGAGAAGGATAAACAATCAAAGGCAGACTTTTAACTTAACAGCATCAACAACTGTTGCACTTTTACAGTCCGTTCCCCCCCTCCCTCCTTTTGCTCGAATTAGGATGAGTTATCCGATCACTTTTACATTGTAAATACTTACAAGTATCTCTAAAATGTGACTAGTTACCTGTTAAGGAGTGCCAAGTCAAGCTGAGTCCCTTATTAACGTTTTGCATGGGAAGAGGCCAGTATATTGACAGCATAGCGACTTATATGAGTAGTGACAACATTATCTTTCTGTCTCCACCCTCAACTCCAGGACCACTGCTGTCCTGACAGACTGCCTGTTGGACATCAAGTCCTGGATGAGGGCAAATTTCCTACAGTTGAATGTGAACAAGACTGAGGCTCCTGGTTAGCTCGCGCCAGCGCCTCAGCAACTCAGGCTCTGGCAGCATCAACTTCCCTGATTGCACACCAACTCACCAGCCAGTCAGGAACCTCGGTGTCTTGTTCGACCCTCAACTGTTTTTTCTTCCCCACATCCAAGCCATGACCCACTCTGCCTTCCCTCACCTCCGTAATATTGCCCGACTCCGCCACTACCTCACCCCTCAGGCCACTGAAACTCTTGTTCATGCCTTCATCACCTCCAGGCTCGACTATGCAAACTCCCTGCTTGTCGGCCTTCCCAACTCCTCCCTCCACAGGCTGCAGGTAATCCAGAACTCTGCAGCCCGTGTCCTCTCCCGCACCAAACTCCGCGACCCCATCTCCCCCATTCTCCATTGGTTCCCTATTCTTCAGAGGATCCAATTCAAGATCCTGGTCCTCACCTATAAAGCCCTCCATGGCCTCGCCCCATCCTACCTCTGCGACCTCCTAACCCTCTGCCAACCCGCCCGTTCCCTCCCTCAGCCGGCTCTGGCCTGCTCCACCTCCCTGGACCCACCCACCCCACCATCGGCGGGAGAGCCTTCAGCCACTCTGCCCCCAACCTCTGGAATTCCATCCCCCAATCACTCCGCCTCGCCCCCTCCTTAGCCTCCTTCAAGTCCCGCCTCAAGACCCTCCTCTTCGACCATGCCATTGGCCACCCCCATTCCCCTCCCCTCCCTTCTCCTTCCCTGACCCCAGCTCGGGTCTGAAATGCTGTACTCTGTCCAGCGCCTTGGGACGTCCTCCCGACATGAAAGGCGCTATACAAATGTAATCTTGTTGTTAAGGCAGGGTTGAGGTATCCGGACTTTATTATATGTGAATAGCTTTGTGGATCCAGGCCAGAATTCCCAGATCTGAGAGATCACTGAGATCTTAGAGGGGAAGGGGTCGGGGGGAAGAGGAGAAGAGGAGGGATGGCTTGGCACTAGACGATGGGGAATAATAATAATAATGATAGATATTGATGGTGATAGGAGGTCAGGGAGAATGATAGACATGGCAATTGCATTGAATCTTTCTCTCAAATTCTGTTATGTTTGGTGAATCATATCAGGGCGTTAATGTAAGGTGTCAATCAGGAGCATAGAGATGCGCTCAGGTTCACATGTTTACAAGACTTTTTAGCCTCTCCAGATTCTCACCACCCTCTGCGCGAATAAGTTCCTCCTAAATTCCCTATTAGATCTACCATCTTATATTCGTACCCTCTTATTTTGGACTCACCAGCAAGTGGAAACTGCGAATTGACATCCACCTTATTGAATCCCTTCATAATCTTGAACAGGTCCCTTCTTAATCACTTCAGCCATAGAGATGAAAGGCTTCAAACTCTCCAATCGCTCTTGATAGCTGAATGCATCTCATCATCCCTGTTGTTTCCATTTCAGTGCAAAAATACTGAGTGCTCCGCCGTAGAGTCTTCTTGGAACCTTAACAGCTGTGGGGAAAAAAGTGGTTTAGATTCGGAGTTAATTATTCCGTGACAAAATCATAATTTCCACCTCAATAAAAAAAAATGACTGAAACGGCCCGAGACAAACGTCCTTAATTCAAAGATCTTTGGCCGCGCTGATGTGTGTCACTAATTTGTTCCTTAGCTGAGAGACATGAAGCACTCAGCATGGCGTGCTGTGTAGCGCTAAATCATGCGACTTGACTGTACATTGTATTGAATGCTATAATGCGGCATAGTTAGAATTGGGGGTTAACTTTAGCGGAACAGAACCTAACGTTTGTATAGCCAGAGAGGTACAACAGCAGACACACGACTGGTAGCATTGAATTTGACTCACGAGGCCCCCCTCTGGTCGCTTACAGTCGAGAATTGTTGTGCTATCAAGTTCTCTGTGTGAACACAGTTGTGTTGTGGTTAAGGATGTTGCCAGGTTTGTGTCCTGTTGCTGACAAATGAGCGCAATGGATTTGAATGCACAATGTTATCTGACTGGCAGCACATAAAAGCAATTTAAAGCATGTGCCCTGTTCACAGCATGTGAACCATTGTACTATCAGAACAATTACTCTAAATCGCTGTTTCCAAATTATTATTCAGATACGGATTGAAGGTAATGACTGAATCATTTAAATATTTTATAAAGCCTTGTGCGCATTGAGAACTTTTTTTTTGTCAATTGCAGATATTTTTATCTGGGGATTTCTGAATGAGAGGAAACATTTAGCCTTGGCGCCGCATTGGTGTTATATAGATAATAACAATAATAATTATCCTTGCGTTTGAAATAGCGCTTCGCACATCAAGGTAGGGATGTCTCAAAGAGCTTCACAGGGCACCTCGTAAAGTGTAGTCCCTGTATTTTAATGTCTTGAAAAATCATCCAAAGGACAGTGCAGTGCTCCCCCAACCAAGATTGTGAGTTCAAAGTCCCGCAATGGGGCTTGAACCCGCAAAGTACTGATTCTGAGGAGAGTGCGAGACTGACACCTACTTTCTTTATAAGGAGTGCGTCATAGCAGCTTATGTGTAAGGCTGGGGAAAGCAAACAACGTAACTTCTGCTTCTTCTGTACATACAGAAATACCATGGAATTGACCACGTCTAGCCTCTAATGCTGTTCTAACGAGTAGGAATTCACAATCGTCAAATATTTGCACCGCTAAATAAATAGCTTTCGTTCGATTTCTGTATGTATCGGTAGCAACTTGTTTTAAGTCAGAAGAAGGTTAATGCCAATAAATGTGGCAAAGATGTAGTCAGCCTGCTAATGATTTCTGGAATCACTTCAGGAGCATTTTGGCTTAACCATTTCTGGGTATTATTCTTGTGTATCTGTTGTATGTTTTTGTTGTAGTACTTCAGGGTGGTTTTATGGGACGTTATCTGGTCCCAATTGGTTCCCGAGTTCGCCTGTAAATGCACAGTCATTGCGCTTGACATCAGTCACTCTGTTCTGCCGAGCTGTGGATTTATTTATGTCCACTTTGTCTCTTACAGAGGAGGAGCGGAAGGTGAAAGCCAGCAACCGTGAATACAATGAAAGATTTGAATATGCTGTAAGTGATGCTTCTCACTTGCTCTTGTAAACCAAGTATTGCAAAGTTTGGACCGAGATAGTGGGATGTGTGCAACAACACCAGAGATGAGCGTATGGTGCCTTTACGACTCATGAAGTGGGCAGTACTCTGACTCCTTGGTATTGAGTAAGTCAAGAAGAGTCTCAGCAATCCAAGGCATTGATGGTAGATCTGCCTGTCTGACTCATTCATTAATATATCATTGGAAAGTACACTTTTTATGCCTATTTCAGTCAGTGTTTCTTTTCTAGAATCTATTGTAAACTTTGAAATGGGATCGAAAAGCAAAACCCAGAACATTAGTCTCGGAGACAATAGAACTAAGAGGAAAAGGTTTTGAGTTGCAACAGGCAATTACCAGGAAGTATTTCTTAACCAAGAAGGCAATTAGCTCCTGGAACAGGTTACTAGGAAAGCAGTTAGAACCAAGAGGCTGGTTTCATCTGGAAAAAAAAGCTCAATTATTGGTATGTGAAGATGGTAGTAGATATTCTCGAAGTGATGAGATCAAATGGGCGAATAGTATTCAGCATCCGAACCAATTTTGTGATAATTTACCCAAACTATTTACTACTGAAGCCACTTGGTGGCCGTTTTGCAAAAGGTGGCTACATTTATATTTTTGTATTTCTGCAAGTATTGCAACCTAAACAAATTCGAAGGTGACGATTGATCAGAATTGCAGGCAGTGCAAGCGGGCAACAAAGTTCCGTGAAATGTTCTTCATATTGATAAACGACGTGGGGTGTGAGGAGAATGGGTTTGTAAGTATTGGGGAACTTCATTACAGTATGGTTCAGCTTGGTCTGATGTCTCATTGATTGCACTATGCACAAAGCATGTCATACGCTCAATGCCTTGAGTCTGTTGCCCGGTTGTTCTGACTTACTGTTCCAGCCTTACCTCCTGTATCCCGATATGTAGCTTATATACCTCAGTGAAACCCCTGTGAGAGGTCTCCAGGCTTATGTACTCATTCCTTATAGCTCAAAAGCCTCTATCACAGGGCATCAGCCTGTTTGCTCTCCTTTCCACTTGTAGATGTGTTTGTTATCCTGCACTAGTTCTTCCATTAAGCACTAAAAACTTCTCTCAGCCTAGACCACTGTGAATTCCGTAACCTTGAATTTCAAAGAAAACATTCAAGCAAGCACTCTTCATTTTTTGTGAAAGCAATTTTCTTTCTTTTAGCACTGCTGCTGATTGTACAGAGTTTTCCTTCAATCTGCAAATTAGTTTTGCATTGAATTGTATTAACCGTGCCACAAGGGGACATAACATCTTTCTGTGCACATCTTTTAGGAGAGGAGTGAACTATTGCAATATACCAACAGGAATTGCTTGCAATATCTTGCTGGATCCATCGCAAAGCTAGACATTCTTGATGACAGCAAATATTTTATATACCGGGGAGAGAACTAAAGGTCATAGTTTCACCTTGAGGATCCGGTTATTTTATGTTGTGTTTATACTGCCAGGAGCAAAGCTGCTTCGATCCCAAGAGTATAGCGATGTTCTCCCTGACTACATTGCACCAATGAGTTCCCTTCAGAGTTCCTGAATTTCCCGCTCGTCCATAGAGGAGCGATTCGAGTGTAATTCGCTGTGGCTGACGTTGCACTGCACTGTTCCTCAAGGCATCTCCTTTGCTATTAATATTATCATAATAATAATCCTTGCATCTGATATTGTGCCTTATCACGTTGAGGTACCTCAAAGCCCTTCACAGGAATTGCTGTCAAGTGTCGTGACTGTGTATTTGCAGGCGAGCAGAGGTTTGCCTGCAAGTACACAGTTGATGGGGTTGATAGTTTTCACAGGACAACCGTATCAACACTTCAAGTCCATAAGTGGTCACGTTTCTGCCTGTTAATTTGTTTGAGCAATTCCAAAGGGTTGCAAAGGCACAGTTTCTATTCCTGATGATTGTCAGAAATGGAGGGAAGTCTCCAGCGCACTTTGTGCTATTGCAGCGCTCGCTTACAGATGACGGATTACCATGTGTGCCATACACACGCAGCATTCAAACCAGTAAACCATTTACAGTGCACTTTGTGACCCTTTAAATACCGTTACAACCCTGTAATTCATCCCCGGACACCATTCCCTGCAACCACAGCGTAACAACAACGATTTACAGTCAGTCAGCGGAAAAACACTTTCAGGCGTCTTCAACGGAAAGATGTCTCAATAAAGCTTCGAATAGCTGACTGGGAGACCGAACTGTGGGGAGGGATGGGGGAGCGGGAGGGAAAGCTGGACGAAATCACAGTCGAATAGATAGGTTGTCACCAACCATTACCCAGATAAAACTGGGCATTTACTTCACGGCTGTTTTGGGGACAGTGCATAAATTATAACAGCATAAATTGCTTTCACAACGTCTTGACGACAGGGATAAGTCCTATATCAAACACAAGAATTATTATCGTTTTTAATCTGCGGGGGGCAGTCATCAACGGCAATTTTTGTGCACGCACTAAGCGCTTGTTTTTTTTTCTTTCTTTCTACAGAATAACCGCATCAACACTTCCAAATACAACGTGATCACATTTCTGCCTATTAACTTGTTTGAGCAATTCCAACGGGTCGCAAACGCATACTTTCTATTCCTGCTGATTTTACAGGTATGTCTCGAAAAGCTAAAGCCAAATAGGACGCAGAGCTTTATTTTCTTTTGCCAATTAAATTCCTGCAGGTTTTATTTGCAAAAAGAAAAAAAAAGATGTCGGAGCAGTTAAATGATTCCTTTCACTGTTGAACTGTTGTTCCCTAGTGCGCATCGTTTTTGGCTTTAACCTCTCTAGTTTAACCAAGACATGTGATCGCTCTGTATAATACAATACAATACAAAATTACATTTGTAGAGCGCCTTTCACGTCGGGAGGACTTCCCAAGGCGCTAATTGTATGGTAAGGGAGGATATGCATATATATTTTAGTGTGTGTTTCGCAAAGACACATGAATTGTCTTGCATTTCACACCAGCCGTGTGTACAAGTTTACGGATTGTTTCAGTCGGGACTCTCATTGAGTACGTTTCTATTTTTCAGCTGATTCCTCATATTTCCTCCCTGTCCTGGTTCACAACGATAGTGCCTTTAGTGTTAGTGTTGACTATCACAGCAGTCAAGGATGCTACGGATGACTTTGTAAGTATCGAGCGAATCTAGAGCTTACGTTCAAGCCTTAGTAATTGAGCCAATTATCGTCCGACGTGGTTCGCTTACGGCTTTCGCCGATCTCACAATATGAGCGCGAGTTATCGTTGTTTTCCTCTGTAAACTCCCAATTTTTTTTTGGATGTTTCAGTTTCGCTACAAGAGCGACAACCAGGTCAACAATCGAAATTCTCAGGTGCTGATCGGTGGCAAGTAAGTGGCGATCATCTCCTCGCCGTGCCTCGTGGAGACACGTAACGGGATTCGGGAACTGCATTCCCACACCAGCGCTTGTCTGCGTAAGATCTCAAAGCCATGGCGATCCCTCGAATGCTGTCGAGAGCACCTCGGAATTTTAGCAGCAACGCTAAGCAGCAGCAAAGGACGTTTCTTTGACTGGGTTATAAGGAGGAGGCACGGGGGAGACTCTTGATGGCTTGGGAAGTACCTCCCAGCAAGTGGACGTGTAAATGGAGTTTCACCATTCATTTTTGTTTTTATATCAGTGGACGCCAAAAAAAAAGCCCTGACAAAAACATACTCGTGACGTAACGAAAATAATACGCTTAAACGCTGTTGATTTTTAATGGCAGCGAGCTCCAGCCTCGTGCCATCTTGTACCGAAACAGTGCCGCTGTGTAGCAGAAACCTGTACTAAAAGACACTCCTTTTCATCAGCGAGACATTCCTTTTAATATTGCGTTCAGCTTCTCCAATGACCCGATAATTAGAAACAATCTTTTCAATGGAAAATGAGTTCAATTAAGCCGTTTTTTTTCACAAGTAGTTACCCACCGGCAGAAAGTTACCATGACAGCAGTGATTCTGCACTAAATATTGCTGGTACATCAAGCTCTGTCACAGTGACGGACCCTGGCATTATAAAGCAAGCGCAGCCTACAGTGCTAGAGAAGGTGTGATTTTAAGTGTCTTTTGTGAGAGGCTTGTAAAGGGAACGATGCATTGTTTAGTTTTATCGTGGCGAGGGACATTAACTGCGATTCTTATAGTGATAGGTTATTACATATGATTGAGTGCTGCCATGTGATGGCTTTGCTCTACAATCTACAGTGAACCATGCATATTTATGATTGCTTTTGTGCGTGTGTCTGTGTGTGTGTGTGTGTGTGCGCTCGCGCCCTGCGTACGTGTAAAAAAAAATCTTCAGTGGTGTTTCTGTGAAATAGCTTCTACATCTTACAGTGATGGCATTACCTCATTTGCACAGTTGAAACTGCTCTTGGCTTTGTGTTCGGCATTCTCTTACTCTCAGCCTTCATCACACAACAGTAACCTAGGCAACGCTCGCTCCCTCTCCAGGTACTCTGCTCATGATTATCACAGGAACGTAAATGGACTGTTAAACCCATTTTGTTTCCCTGCTTGTTTTTCTCCTTCAGATCTTCACCACTCCCCCTCCCCCCCCTCCCCCCCCCCCCCCACCACCTGATGGCATGTCCTTCTGCTATGGTACGGTTCCAACGAGCCCAACCTAATTATGAGCCTCCGGCAGTAAAAGTTAGCAGGCTGTTTGACCAGAGGGAGTCAGTACGAACAGTCCTTGTATTACCTCGTTTTTTTTTGCTCAGCCTGGTGTCTGACACGCATGGAAAACCATCACCGTGCTTTAAGAGTATCCACAACAGAATTAGGGTTCCATGTAGGCACGCGGCCTGCACTCAGAAACCTCCCTGTGGGGGTAACTGCTGGAGTATCAGCAGCTAGAACTTCATGGAGCAATCTCCAGCAGGCGCTTCTGGATAGTGATGGGGGAATCCTAAGCTAATATCCCCCACCTAGACCCAGGGTACCAAATGTGGTGCCCAGACTGCTGAGATCAGCTCACTAAACAATTGTGCAGGCCACATGGTTCAACACTGCATTGGAAACCCAATTTGTTTGAAGTTTCATTTTAATTCTTTACTAAATCAATCGTTAACTCATAATATTACTAGAAAAATGTAAGATGCCCCGGAGGTTACAACTTTTGCCCAGTGAGTTATCGTAAAGACTTGCTCATGATTGCCAGTTGGCTTCATCAGTGGGATCCAAAGTCTTGATTTATTTTGGAATTCCTACTCAGGGGTCCTGTTTGGCTCCAGGAGAAGGAAACGCTAAAATGAGCGCTGAGGTTTGTAGGAGCGCTGATAAATTGCAATTAACGTGTAAATTAACAAGGGAATAATATTTCTGTGAGTGTCTGTGGCGTTAGCCTGGCTCAGTTGGTAGTTGTGGGTTCAGGCCCACAACATCGGAATTTTGAGCTCAGTGTCTAGACTGAAACTTCCCAACATTGCTGGGGGATGGGCTGCTTTGTCGGAGGTGCCATCCTTCGGATGAGACATTAAACTGAGTTCCTGTCTGCGCCTGTTGAGGTGGATGTTAAAAAATCGCATGGCACTATGCAAAAAAGAAAAGGGCGTTTCTCCCGGTGTCCTGGCCAACAATCCTCCAGATAAATTTGGTCATTCACTTCATGGCAATTTGTAGGACATCACTGTGTAAAAATTGACTGTGTGTTCTTGTACAATCACTGCACTTACAGTAAAAGAATCGTGCGCAACTCTTTGAGATGTCGTCCTGACGCAAACAGCAACGTATCAGATATAAGGAATATTATTTGGGGTTGTGATGTGATATCTGAGACGTGAAGAAACAAACTGTGATTAAACTGCAATTATTTCTTCCTCCTTTGTTCGACTTTCTCCAAAGGTTGCAGAATAAAAAATGGATGAACGTTCGAGTGGGAGACATTATCAAATTGGAAAACAATCAATTTGTGGCTGTAAGTACTGACTGTCAAGTCGTTTCATACCTAAGTACCAACAGCCTGGCTTCATCCAAACTTCCCTTGTGTAAAAACCCTCCTGAGTATCTGTGGTTCATTATCATTCACCCACAAATACAGTTATTCCACTATACAGTATATGCTGTGAAGTACTTTGAAGCAGCATTTGGTATATATAGCACCTTTCATAGGTGCTATATATACCAAATGTAAGTATTATTATTATCTAAGAGAAGACGGATTGTAAGATAGTGTTACAGTTTCAGAATGCTGACTACTGTACTCTGCTTATTTTGATGTGATTCGATGTTTTATTGTTTTATCGTGTCGTTGTCACATGCCTCAGGGACTGGAGGGGTATCAGAGAGGAGATTGGAAGGTGGTTAGGAGGCTCATGTGGAGTATAAACACTGGGGCGGAATAGTTGGGCTGAATGACTAGCTTCTGTGCTGTAGGGGTCTGTTTAATTCTGTGTCATGCTCGATCCCCAGGCTGATCTGATGTTGCTATCCAGCAGTGAGCCACATGGGCTCAGTTACGTGGAGACAGCTGAGCTGGACGGGTAAGATTCCAGGATGCACTCTGCGATGTAGCTAAGCAGGGATAACTCGGGAAAGCTCACTGTTTACACTGGTTGTCGCACGTTATATGAAAGTTTAGGGATCTCTGAAATAGGAGGCAGTTCTGTTACCGGTAGAGAATTCTGTAAAGCTTGTAAAATACAATTTTTTTATGTACGTACTTAAAACCGCAATGTTAATACGTCACCTCCTCATCAAGCGCGATGGTCACTAAGTCAGATTCCATGGAGTGGGGAGGGAAAGAACTATCTCTTTCTCTTCTTCCCCCTCCCCCATCCCTCCCAACCCCTATAAAACTCTTGCCTCCATTTAGTTCTCCAGCAAATAACTGATGCACAAACCCCACTAAGGTCAAATGAATTGAGTGATCAGCTCTTTCCAGCAATTAGTTTATATTGGACCCTTCTGTCTACGCCGAATATATTACAATAAATCTTTGGATCCTATCAGCAAGAATCTGTTTTTCTATTGCCCCCTCGTGCCTTTTAATACTCCTTTTAGTTAACCAGTTAACCTTGACTGCCATTCACATGACTCCCAATCCTCACCCCAGTTTTGGTTTCCTTCTGCCCTGTAAAATGAAACGCTCTTATGACACCCTTAAAAAAATAATTCTCTTATTTCTTCCATTGATCTTGTTTTCTGGTTCACCCTTTTGCCTATCGCCAACAGGGAAACCAACTTGAAGGTTCGTCAAGCGCTGACGGTCACCTCAGAACTCGGATCAGATATAAGCAGACTGGCGGAGTTTGACGGTGAGTGTTTTTTTTCTGTTGAGATTATTTCCTGTTAACATACACAGTAGTAGGTCGTAAAGTGGATGTGAGCCGGGGTCTAGGTCAGGTCGAGAACGAGGTCGTGAAGATTTCACAGTGAAAACCTTTTCTAGGCTACGTTTCCCTGGACTGTATTTATTTTGCAGTCTCGTATCGTCTCTTTACACTGGCCACTTTGCACAGCTCTGCACTCAAGTCATTAAATCATCATGAGCATCAATATTCCTCCCACGTAAAATCAGTCAATTGTGCTGTGCATGTGTCAGCTCCGAAATAATGTGAGGGAGCCTGCAGTGAAGTAGCTTTGTATTAAAACACAAGCTCCACTGCGAAGTTCTGTGGCAAGTGGATTAACTGTAGTAATAATAATATTAATAATAATCCTTCTACATAATATAGCGCCTTCCACGTCAGGAGGACGTTTCAACGCGCTTCACCAGATATACTGCAAAGTGAAGTGCCTGTGAGACAATGTCTTAGAGCCATCCAGAGCGATAGTAAAATGCTCGTGGTTGAGGGAAGAATTGATGACATTTTCCCCTCATTTATTATCATCTTTATATTGTTTAAAACCCCACTTTCCTTTGTGTTGTGTTATCGGTTTCTCGGCAGCAGTAGCAGCCTATGAAGGCCATAACCTACTCAGCTTTTTTTTCGCCCCTCATCCCAAGCAATGCCTCAATGTGTATCCCCGCCTCAGTTGTGGAAGATTGAAATTGAATTGAGTCTCAACTTACGAGAGTGATCTGATGAACAGAAGTGCGAGCCACGTTGAGAAAGAGTAAAAAATACCACTCATTCTAAAGCTGAGCATCGCCACTTTGTGGCCGGGTAGAATAGAATTCCACCTACGTAGAGATTTACTCAACTCTTGCAGCATTTCGCAGCATCCCGAGTTTGGCGAACTGTTGAATTCAGTCCCAACCTTGAAGCTGTTTGTTTATGGCCCTTAAAAGATACGTACGAAAAACTAGGCTTCAGAATTAAGGCAGCATTGAAATATTCTGTACGCACTGAACTGCTACGTTAATAGAATAAATTTAGACCCAGGTGCAGTTTCACTCTCTTGTAAAAGCTGGGAATTTGTCAAGGAGAACAGCTTTGGGTTTTTTTGAGGTTGGGTGCATAGCAACAGAAACTAACCCTCCTCTCCTAGCCTCCGAACTGCAGCTTAGACAGGGCCTCATTATTGACCTGGATGCAAAAGCTGGCCTCGCTAATCACAAGATCACCCGAGTGATTCAGATGACTAAGGACCTTTGGTCCACTTGATCTCATCCTCCCAGAATACCCACCCTCCCATTGTCTGAATAAATTTGTTGGAGTAGACTATTGTGCCAGAATACAGTACTCCCTTAGCACTGACCTGGAGTGTCAGGTCAGACTGTGAGTTCAACGTGCCGTCGAGGGGCTTAAACCCACAAACTTCTGACTCAAAAGACGCCACATTTACACTGAAGCAGATGTAGATCACATTGCTCTTGAGGCCATCTCCTCCCATTACTGCTGGCAGCATAGGCTCGATGGAGGCTCGCCCACAAACCTTATTGCATCCTAAATCCTCGGGAACAAATGTCTGCCAAAATAAAGGCCTTCTTTACGTGTTTTTGCCATTTTTTTGAAGCTACTTTATTAGGCCTGTGCACATGCATTGCTTAGGAAAATCATAGCGAAGTAACTCGTCGATCCTTTGGAGCGAGAGTAAGTTCATCCTTACTTGCACACTCGTACGTCAGACTATTTTGTTTATTGGCTTGTTTAAACCACAAGCTCGCCTGTTGCACTTTGTTTTAGATTACTGCTGTCTGGGTGAGGGGGTTGCCAAAGGCACTGAGTAAACACTCAGCTAATCCTCATTCAGAACGCTTCAGATGGCCATCTCTCGCTCTCTTTCCCTCTCTCTCTCTCCCTCTCTCCCCCCCGTCTCTCTCACTGCTGTCTGCTGGCTGTAATTCAGAAAAATAAAATGGTAAAATATCGTTATAAATAGTCCCGTGTTCTGGGAAAAGAAAGGGTTTATGATCTCCTAATTTGGCCATCACTTGCTTCACTGAAACATCCCCTGGGATCGCATTTAAAGTAAAGTGGTTCGAGTTGGCTAATTACACAGAGTTGGAACAAGATCAACGTGTTGTGTGGGATGTCACTGTGAGCATATTGGCTATGAATGCACAGCCCCTACGTCTTGCAGTGAAGACCTGCGGAGCACTTGGAGACAACCCGATAAGGCTCTGTAAGGCCTACAGTCACTTACATGCTATGCAGTGGAAGTGGTCTAGGAGCAATAGATGGGAGTTGTCTCCTCTCTGCCAAACTGGTCTATAATCCTCCCATCACCCAGGTTTCTCGAGAGTTGCTACGTAAGCACTGAAGTGTTTGCGTGAAGCTAGTCCACGCAGATGGTCTCAGACAATTAGCTTGAGATGTAAATCGCGGGCTGCCCTAATTTAAGTGGCCCACTTTCACTGTGCTCCGCAAGGCAGGTTGTCAGATGACTCTGCGCGGATCGGAAAACGTGCGGCAGTTAATATAAGTTGTGCTATGTGGAGGCACCGGCCGATACTGAGCTTTGAGGACATCTTCCCACTGAGAGCATGTTCTTTAGGTCTAAAAGCATCATCCGATCAGATCTCTCCATCCTGGCTGGTCCAGAGAAGCAGGGAGGGAGGCCTGCTGAAAAATCTTGGATGATGTCTCCAAGGAGACGTGAAATTCCACCTAGTCCCCCCCCCCCCCCCCACCCTCCACTCCGCCTGACCCCAACTCCCAGCTCGGGTCCAAAAAATCCTGACTGTCCAGTGCCCTGGGACATCTTCCCGACTTGAAGAGCGTTATACAAGTATAATTTGTTGTTGTTGTAGTCTCAGCCGTTAACATTGTTTTGTCTTAAAATTTAGAGGTTGCTCAGATTGTTAAATTCAGCCATAATTTCGCCCCAAAAAACACAGTCCCCGCACTGTGAAGTGCTTTGAAACGTCCTCCTGACGTGAAAAGGCGCTATATCGAACTCAAGGATTATTAATTGTGATCATCAATCTGTGAGACGGTTAATGTTTAAGTGCTAGAATTCACTCTCGGTTACCAAGATTTTTTTTTACCACTCGGGCAAGGTTTAAAATTTTAAAGCCAAAATAGACTAACAGAGTTATGAACAATGGATGGAATTTCAGCCCTCAAATGCCATCTACTTTTAAGTGCTCCCTAAGTTCATATAAAGTGACTCATCTGTTTGCAGAGAGGGTGTGGTTTATCAGAGGTGCCGTCCTTCGGATGAGGTGTTGAACTGAGATCCCATCTTCCTGCTGAGGTTGGACATAAAGATCCCATGGAACGAGTTGAAAAGAGAAGGGAGTTTCTCCCTGTTGTCCTGGCCAACAATTTCCTGGGTGAAATCGATCATTCACTTCATGTCTGTCTGCGGGAAGTTGCTGTGTGTAAATCGGCTGCCAGGTTCCCTTACAAAATCCTCAGTCACGACACTTTACAGTAAATCCCGTGAAGCACTTTGATGTGGCCTCTCCCCCTGAGGTGAAAGCCGCTGTGCCAAGGATTATTATTCAGTGAATAACTCCCATTTTATGAGAAAGGTTAAAAGATTTTTAAGGGTTTTGATTTTTAAAGATTTTTAAAGATTAAGGACAGGTCCCAATATTCTCTTGACATGCTGTCCTCCTCATTCTGTGGCAGGGGAAGTAATCTGTGAACCTCCGAACAATAAATTGGACAGGTTCACGGGAACGCTGTCCTGGAAGGATAATAAGTATTCCCTGGACAATGAGAAGGTCCTGCTCCGAGGCTGTGTGCTGCGGAACACAGAGTGGTGCTTCGGGATGGTGATCTTTGCAGGTAACTCGCTCTTCTTTGGTCCAGCGCCTGTCACGTTGGGAGGATGTCAGAAAGCGCTTTGCAGGGAATACTGTGAAGTGGAGTCACTGTGTGTTTCGTAGGCAAACGATGCCTTTGTTCTCCAGGTCCTGACACCAAGCTGATGCAGAACTGCGGCCATACAAAATTCAAACGCACGAGCATAGACCGATTGATGAACACTTTAGTGCTGTGGGTAAGTTAGGATAAAACGTTGGGATAAAAACGCCTCTGGTGTGCCACACCACGACAACGACGACGACAACTTGCATTTACGTAGGGTAATGTCTCGGAACGCACCAGTCCCCTGCAGGGGTAAGTGTCACCGAGGTTCATTGCCGCGGTTGATGAAACTGGTTTGCAAATGGAAATGTTACCCTCATCTCTTCTGGCTGCTAATCCGCAATGCGATGTTTGCAATGGATTGCATGACCAGGCTTGCCGATATTCCCACGATAGTCATGAAGGGCAGATCGTGATTCCCCAATTCGCCAAAGTCAGAACAATACAAAAGAAACACTCAGTGATTATTTGTTTCCCTACCACGAGGCTTTTGCTGGCTTGGAAATTTGCGAGTGACTGCTCTGCTAATTGGCAAACTAATATTTTAATAACAATAATAATTTTGTGAATGTGGCATCTTAGACCCGCTTCACCGTTCTCGGAGCTTCAAGCGGGACACTCACGAGGTTGACCTTGCTGTCATGTAATGACGAAAATTGCTTTTTTCACAGATCTTTGGCTTCCTGGTGTGTATGGGGACCATTTTGGCCATCGGAAATTCAATATGGGAACACAAGGTGGGATTCTATTTCCAGATTTACCTGCCCTGGGATCCGTGGATAGAAAACTCTGTCTTTTCAGGATTTTTAAGCTTCTGGTCGTACATCATTATCCTCAATACCGTCGTGCCGATTTCACTGTATGTCAGGTGAGCGATCGTCATTTCACACGCTTCAATAGCAAGAAGTGTTGATGTTTTCTCTCCTCTCATGTCCTCGCCTTTATCTTTGAAGTACAGATTGACTGCTTCGGTTTAGTCCTGGAGAACGTTCCTGTGTGTGATTTCTGTTTCGTTCTATGAAAGTCTTTTTTTTTGCAACTTTGGCACAATTGACTTAGTGGACCAGGAACAGGAGGAGGCCATTCAGCCCATCCAGCCTGTTCCGCCAATTTATGAGATCTTTCAACGCCATTTCCCCGTCGTCCCTCGTGGCATTGTTGAATGCTTTGAAGACGTGCTCACGATGTGAAAGGGGTTGCATAAATGTAAATTGTATTGGGGTTTTTGGGGGGGTTTTGCTCGCATCTCATTTAAGTGAGCACCGTGAGACAGTTATTCTCTTCCCTGTTATGTTCACAACTTTGTCACCCATTTAATCCCAGATACCTTTCAAGCGAAGAGCGTGATTCAGACACGCTCAGTCGTTTGTCTCGCTGTTTTGGCCCTTTTGAATTCCACCTCCTGTCCCATCATGGATTCTATTCACCACTGTCTCCACTTTCCACTCATTAACAGTGTGGAAGTCATCCGGCTCGGACACAGCTACTTCATAAACTGGGACCGCAAGATGTATTACGCCAAGAAGGACACCTTTGCCGAGGCTCGGACCACAACCCTCAACGAAGAGCTGGGCCAAATAGAATACATATTTTCTGACAAAACAGGAACTCTCACCCAGAACATAATGGTCTTCAACAAATGCTCCATTAATGGGAAGGCCTATGGTGAGTGACTGCACATTTGATAACTCATTTGCTTCTTTTACAGCGTATCACTGTTTGCGGGGGGAGCACTGTTGATGCGCTTTATACAGTAGCATTGCATGGAGATCTGTGTTATCAGTTTTCCTGTGGCCTTGAGAGCAAATTGCTTTGTCTTGATCAGTATTAAACATGGATGAAAATACAGCGGCTCGTTGATAGGCGAATGTGTGAAGCATCTATTTATACTTTGCTTAGTGAGGATGAACATGACACCCCTAACAGAGAGAGAGTTATATGTATGTTGTGGAAGGAGAGTCTCCATTGTTAGCATTTAATTAACACTCATTCTAGTTAACACTCATGATGGCAGTCACACCAGCTTTGGGGCTGAAGACTTCTATTTTCAATTAGTTGCACAACTAATGTTTCCTCATACACACACAAACACCCATAAATCACACACACACTATCCCCCACACACACGTACACTAGCTACATACATACATTATTCTCCCGATGCACACACCTTCTCCATAGACACTACCCCCCACACACACACAGACACACTAACCTCTCCCCCTGCATGCACACATACTAACTAAACACACACTGACCTGCCCTTCCTGCACACATACACAAACATCAACAGACATACACAAATGCACACTAACTACAAACTAAGACTAACATCTACACGCAATAACCACGATACACTCGGGCTGTAATGAATGCAGCCGTCTCATTGCAAAACACAACATTGAGCAGTGAGTCATGGCAAGAGTATGCATTTTTGGCTGAATGGAGTAATAAACGTGCTCTCCTTTGAAATGTTGAGTTTTGTTACAATTAGTTTTTTTTTAAGTGTAAGTAATATTCAACGGTTTCATCAGAATAATAAAGAAATCCATTTGTTTGGCTTGTGAGGCGACTGCAGCTCACATATGGAAACATTCAGCATGTCCGTACACTTCACTGGAAAATAGCCTCACGGGCATTAATCATGTCAGCCTTGCCCCACATGGAAACTTTACAACCAGATCATCTTTCGCCAAGTTGCTTTTCGCCGTGGAGACTCAATGCAACTTTCCCATGCTCAGAACTGTGACAGCGAGATCCGTATCATTCAAAATCCATTCCCGATTAGAACACAGTTTCCACTTTTCAGATTGTTGGTACAAATGGAATCCTGTGTGATGTTTTAGTGCTTTCCTTTCGCTTCAGTAAATAAGAAGATTTTATGTAACTTAGTTGCCCGTCCAGCTTGTGAGGACAATGTCACCTTATCATTGAATTTTACCAGGCGTTAATTCTGCTTTGGGAGGGGAAATCTCATAGCCTTGTAGACTGTGTATAAATGGTAATCTTCCCAGGACAGTGCCCTGGTAAGTTTTGCATACGCTTCTCCATCTAGAACCTTGATTTGCAAAGTTGAGGGGCATGTCAGAGAGTCAGAAGGTCAGCAAAGATTGGAATTTTGAATCTTGGCGTCAAATGAAAGAATTCAACACGCGAGGGTTGTGACAAGTAAACAGCCAATGTTTGTATATTACCGTGAAGAAAGAGTGATTGTAATTATACTCACGGCAAAAAACTCTCAATAAGAATTTTTTTTTTTACTGTCATTTTAGGGGATGTGTATGATGAGCACGGACATAAAACTGAAATATCTGAGGTAAGGACTTGTGTAAGATATATGCTCATTGCTTCGAACCGATTTAATACATGTTCTGTTTTAAGGACAAAAATTAAGGCTTATAAAAAAATGATATGTTTTTAAAGTGTGATATTGAGGTCTGCGCGGCTGCCAACACATCACGGTTTAAACCGGTTCATAAATAATAATAATTTGGTCACTCACGACTGTTTGTGGGACACTGCTGTGCGCAATTTGCTGCCGGTTTCGCCCACAAAATATACAGTCAATTCACTTGACTGTATATTCTGTGAAGCGCCTTTGAGACGTTTCGAAGCCGTGATAAGCCGTTACATCAAATGCAAAGGATTATTTTTCTTTTACTTGACAGAGTTTGTTTTCTGTTACTTTGCAGAGGATAGCTTCCGTGGACTTTTCATCCAACCCCTTAGCAGATAAGAAATTCATGTTTTATGACCACAGTCTGCTGGAAGCTGTTAAACTGGAGGTTCCCATGGTCCATGAGTTTTTCCGGGTGCTATCTCTGTGCCACACGGTGATGCCGGAAGAAAAGAATGAAGGTGAGCACAAAGGCTACATTGCCTGGATGTAAAGGGAAAGCCATTCTTCCGAGCAGAGACATGCAATGCCTCCATAACTGTTTGCTCCTTAATAATCCGTGAAATAGCGCCTTATCACGTCACCTAGACGGCTCAAAGCGCTTCGCAGAATATATTGTAAAGTGGTATGACCGTGTATTTTGTGGGCGAAATGTGAAACGCACAAACAGTGATGGAATGAGTGACCGATTTTATTTGGGGAATTTGTTGGCCAGAACAACAGGAGAAACTCTGTTCCCTTTTTTGAATCATGGGCTCTTTAACATCCACCTGAACAGGCAGATGGGACCTCGGTTTAACGTCTCATCCGAATGACGGCATCTCTGACAATGCAATACCCCCCAGCACTGGATTGGAGTGTCATTTTATACTGTGTGATTCCAAGTCCTGATGTGGGCTTGAACCCACAATCTTCCGAATCAAAAGTTATCACTGAGCCAGGCTGACCCTTAAGGGAGTAGCTGCCTGTCATGGTCTAGTTGTAGTATCAAAACAGGCACCTTTTATCCCAGGAGGACATCGCAAAGCACTTCACAGGGTATATTGTAGGCTAGACTAGTAACCGTGCATCTTTCTGCAGGCGAATACAGCAGGAGGTTTGCGTATAGCAACCGTCCCACAGACCAGTGCGAGTCCTATTAAAGTAAGTGGCAGTGCCGGCCACAGCTATTAGAGCGACCTGCTTAATGAAGATTTCCTGCGGCTCTAAAGACAGAAGTGAATGAATGTGTGTCTCAGGCATGCCTGCTGGAATGGTTCTGATTAGCTGGCACTCTGCAGGAATTAAGCTCAGGGGCCAGAGTGTAATGAGGCCGTAACTGTGTAACGCTGGTGTACCTGTTGCCTTTTAATGGGATGTGCCAATTTGAGGCAGCTGAGCCCTGATTAATATCCACCCCAGAACTGTACAGCATGTGAGCCCTTACCTCTCTTATCGTTAACCTCATGAATTCTGCAATCCGTTTAACCCCTCGACGACCCACCGCCAGCCTGGCCGAAGTTCGCTTCTCTTCGAAGGCACGGACCCCTAATTCTCTGAGACGTTACCCTGCATGAAGGGTGCTATATAAATGCAAGTTGTTGTTGTTGTTGTTGTGAGGTTACTTTAACCTTAAAACGCGAGATTGCACAGAATTGTGGCAAATTGTCCTTCAGATGAGATGTTACACCTGTTCAGGTGGACGTTAAAGATCCCATGGCGCTATTCAAAGAGAGAAGGGAGTTTCTCCTGGTGTCCTGGTCGACAATCCCCCAAATAAAATTGGTCACTCACTCCATGCCTGTTTGTGGGACGTTGCTGTGTGCAACTGGCTGCACCGTTTCGCCCACAAAATACACAAGTCAATCCATTTTACAGTATATCCTGCGAAGAGTATTGAGATATCTTGACAGAGTGATAAGGTGCTGTATTAAATGCAAGGATTATTATTATTATTAATAATGTATTCTTCCTACAATAGGAAAAAAAGCCATAACGCCACTTGTTTTTTTTAATAAAAACAATGATAGCCAAATGTAAACGGTACATTAACAAACGGTTCTTACTATTGGTGCAGGAGAACTCTTTTACCAGGCCCAGTCACCTGATGAAGGAGCACTGGTCATGGCAGCGAGGAATTTTGGCTTTGTGTTTCGTTTCCGCACCCCAGAGACCATCACAGTGCAGGAAATGGGTAAATCCGTCACCTACCAGCTCCTGGCCATCCTGGACTTTAACAATGTAAGGAAGAGGATGTCTGTGATAGGTATGTTGAGCACATATATCGATTGAAATTGTTTTCCTACATCTTAACTTAAGTCGATATCAGGTCTTCACTCTGCACCGTGGAGCTTTCTGGTCTGTCGTTCTATCCTGGGTTTCAATCTTCATTATATACAGCGCAACGTATATTTACCTGTTGCCTTTGTAAGGGTCCTAACAGGACTCAGGTGGTCCTATCTGGTCAAGCAGTGCCAGACAGTGCTCTCCATGTGGTATTACCTGGTTAAATTCCAGGAGTGCCCCACTTGTCCCCAACACACCCAAGCCTTGACTCTGCGCCTAATACTCTCCAGGATTTAAGCGAGCAGGGTGCGTCCCTCCAGGGAGAGAGTGTCCATTCCATTGTAGATATAGAGAAATCTCCATGTGTAGGTGACACATATGTGGAACTCTGTCTGGTTTGGATACTCAGGGTTTCCGCATATGCCAAGACGTCGTCAGAAAATCTAAAAAATTATATTTACCGCTCATTAAATATCCTGACGTGAAAAGCGCTATATCAAATGCAAGGATTATTATTATTATCCTCATTAAATTATCATTAAATTGTTAAATGATGTCTTCTGCTTCCAGTTAGGAATCCTGACGGGCAAATACGACTGTACACCAAGGGGGCTGATACTATTTTGTTTGAAAGGCTTCACCCGTCTAATGAAGAGCTGATGTGTGTGACCTCAGACCATCTCAGTGTAAGTGGATTCAAGGAATGAAAACCGCAAGTAACTTAAGGTCCTGCTGTATCAAGTGGTGACGCATTAAGCCCCTTGTGTCAAGACAGGAAACCAAAACAGGAGCCAAAGAACTGTTAAAAAAGTATTAAAATTGACCTAATATACTTCCCACAATGGCGGAATTCATATTTCATAGTAAAATAATACCTTAAATTTTTTTCCTGTTGCTGATCTGACCAGAATCCCACTGAGTTATAAACTCCACAAGTGAATTAAAGGGAGGTTGCCTGCTTCTAAATTGCCTTGTAATTCCTGATAGATCCAAACTTCTGTCTGTACACGTTTAGTCACCTCTTACTAAAGCACATTTAATTTGTAGGATTTGCTAATAGTGGCCTGAGAGCTGATGTTTTGTGTTGACAGTCTCAGGCATAACATACTGAATGGGTATTTTTCTCCAAAGCTTACATTCTCAACGCTGTCCTTCAGGACTTGAACCCTCACCTCACCTCCCTGACTCAAATCGATCTGTTATCACCTCTGTAGTGTACCCTGGTGAGCTCAGGCTGAACTCTTGTATCACTGAGGAGGCTTCTTGAAATTGTTTCATAAAGGGAGGGGTGAGAACCTCATGAGATTTCAAGATTTCGCAATGGCTGTGCTCAAAGTAACGCCTAACTTTGGGAGAGAGAGGAATCCAGTCAGTCTGATCAGCAGAATTAACATTCCCTTGTCTTCAAAGTGAACAAAAAAACGTATCAGGCGCCAAATAACTTAATCACGTAATAATAACCCTTCTCAGAGCTTTCACATCGAGAGGACGTCTCGGTCTATCACTCGTTCGGTTCTGAGTGTCAGCCCTGAAATGCCAATCGAATTGAGAGCTTCTTGGGACACAAATCTCCGAGGTTCTAACTCGGCCCTGAAAAGCCATTTGATTCGAATGTCCTATACAAGCCATTTGTGCTCTTGTTGCGAGTATTGAATGACAGTGGTTGTGAATGAGCGTGTTTCATTGTACAGGAGTTTGCTGGGGAAGGGCTCAGGACCCTGGTGCTGGCCTATAAGGATCTGGATGAGGATTACTTTGAGGAGTGGTTGAAAATGCATCATCACGCCAGCGTGTCACTGGATAACCGAGACGAGAAGCTGGCTGCCGTGTATGAAGAAATCGAACAGGACATGATGGTATGTCTTTGCGAAAGATTTAATTTGTCAGATTACAATGATGCAACACATGAGCTGAGCAGCTGGCAACAAAACAGAAGTGAACTGTGACATTAGAGGAATCGGTTATTACAAGTGTATGCAGTGGGGGAGAAATCCTACTCTGGTCTTCTCAAACATTGTGTGTGTGCCGAACTTGGCAAATTCTTAAAAGTCGCTGAAGCCTTTTTTGTACCGGTTCTTTTAAGAACAACAAAAAAGACGAAATTAAGAAATTCAGCTGTTACGTTCCTAACCACCCTCCCTCCCTCAACTCATCCATCTCACCCTCCTCTATACCTGACTTTAACTCACGCGCTGAAATTTACCTCTTCGATTGCACCAGTGGTCACCTCCCCTTCTTCCATGCTCAACGTCCAATCCATCTTTGTAAACCGCTCCAAGACTTTATGAGACACGCAGGCTGCTATATAATTGCTTGTAGCTGTTGTTTCTGTAAGACTGAATTTAAGATTTTTCCGAGTTTTGCACACTCTGAAACCCAAAGCAAATAGTGCAAGCCTGGAACTGGGTGGTATGGCATTTCTCCACCAAGATTGGTTCGATGTCTACCTAGAGTAGCCAATTTCAGACAGTTCTTGTTGGACAAAACTGGAAGAACTGATCAGAAATATAGGGATGGATGTGCTTCCTCTAGTACTGGTACAATAGAATAACATATTGGAGCAAAGATATAATAGTATCTTGTGTGTGAAGATGCTTGGCTGGTTATCGCTGAATAATTTAAGGAAACCATTCACTTGTTTACATTTTGGAAGACAAACAAGTGAGCACTTTGCAAAGCCTTAGACACACAGCCGAACACTTTGACAGTCCATAAATATGAGTCGTCTTGAGTTCTCGCTGCTAAACATTTTGTAGGAATTGCGATATGAACTCATAAATATTTTTTCATTCCCATTCCTTTACATAATTCTCAATGTCTCTGTTTAGTTACTAGGTGCCACAGCAATAGAGGATAAACTACAAGAAGGAGTTCCGGATACAATTGCCAACCTTTCACTAGCCAACATTAAGATCTGGGTACTGACTGGAGATAAGCAAGGTACGATAGCAAAAGCGCTGTTATTTTTTTTCTCTGCCGAGCGAAAAGCTTGTACTATTTTTCACATCTGTTTCTAAACCACAATATAAATCAATGTGTTGAGAATTAAAGCTCTCACTTTTTACGAGATGGATCCCATGGCACCACTTGAAAAGAAAAGGGAGTTTCTTCTGGTGTCCTGGCAAACAATCCACAAAATAGGATCATTCACTTTATGGCAATTTGTGGGATGTTGCTGTGCAGTCATTTCACTTGACAGTTAATCCTGTGAAGCGCTTTTGAGATGTCCTGCTGACATCAAAGGCGCTATACAAATGCAGGGGCTATTATTGTTATTTAACAGTGTGGATCACAAGTAGACAGTGGAATAAGATGAAGGCATTGATAAAGCAAGGGATTTTCTCTGTATTCTTTTGAAGGTTTTTTTGATGTATTACGATGGTATCTTGCCAGCTGGATGCCTATCAAGGGAACATTCTTGTTGTAAGATGCCTCTTGCAGCCCTTTAATCATTTGGAGAAGAGTCTTCTGAGGATAGGAAAAGTCGCATTATTAAAAACAAAAATCACCTTTATATTAAAACAAAGAAAATCAAACACGTTGAGATCTGGAGACATGAACAGTAGCAGTTTTACGCAGGCACCAGATGTTTTATTATTAATAATAATAAATAAATAATCCTTGCATTTGATATAGCTCCTTTTATGTCAAGAGGACGTCTCAAGTTCGGTGTAACCCGGCTGGTAGAATTGTCGGAGGTGCCGTCCTTTGGATGGGACCTTAAACCTGTTCAGTTGAACTTTAAAGATCCCCTGTCACTATTCGAAAAGAGAAGGGAGTCTCTCCTGGTCTCCTGACTGACAATCCGCCAGATATTCATCATTCACTTCACGGCTGTTTGTGGCACTTGCTGTACGCAAATTGGCTGCCCTACAAAATACACAGTCGCTACACTTTACAGTCAATCTTCTGAAGCACTTTGAGAACTGCAGCCAAGTTCATAATGTCACCGTGAGAGGCTGAGACTATACAGCTATAACAGGAGGAAGAGACCGGGGGTACAAACCAGTCTTGCGACTTGAGTCATTGTTGAAGCAGAATTGCTTGTCTCATATTAAGAATGGAACAAGGTGTAACCCAGTGCAGATAGATCATGAGCGAAATAGCTAGGCTTCAAGTATGTTGTTCAGGATATTGAACTGTGACAGCTTTTCTAGTATGCGTTGACCTATGTACAAGATCAGGTTGTCTGTGTGCGCACATCTGAGGGTAGTACATGCCTTTTTTGGAGCTGGAGGCTAGTCCACCTGAGGGACAGATCTACATGTGATGGAGAGGGGAATAGAAGGGTATGGAAAGCAGTAAGGAGTGGGTGGAGACATATGTGGAGTGTCAACACTGGCCGAATGGCCTGTTACTGTGCCGTGCAGTCCATGTAAGTCTATGTAAGTTGCTTGGCAGCTTGGAAAATAGGGACTTGTTGCTTGGTGCTGGATTCCTCTCACCTATCCCAGTTCTCTCTCTCCTTACAGAGACGGCAGTAAATATCGGTTACTCCTGCAACATGTTGAGAGACGACATGAATGAGATTTTCACGGTTTCCGGTCACACAGCTCTCGAAGTGCGTGAAGAGTTGAGGTAAACCACACATTGATTCGCACCATCCGAGGAGGAGAGCAGGTCGGGGGGAGGTGGGAGGAGGAAAATAGCAGAAACATGGAGACAGAAGAATGTTCCGAAATTTTTGCTTGATTATCTTGCGACGTGAAAGGGTCTGTATTAAATAATAATACCTAAAATAATTCTTGCATTTGATTTTGTGCCTCATCGCATTGTTGAGACATCTCAAAGTGCTTTTCAGGGTATACTGTAAAGTGGAGCGACTGTGTATTTTGTGGGCAAAACGCAGCAGCCATGTTCCCCCAACCAGTCATGGAGTGAGTGGCTGATTTCTTATTTGGGGGATTGTCGGCCAGGACACCGGGAGGGAGAAACTCTCTTGTGTTTCGAATTTAGCGCCATGGGCAGGCAGACAAGGAGCTCGGTTTAACATCAGAAGTACGGCATCTTCGACAACGCAACACACACCCCCAGCACTGCTTGGACTATGTTATTCCACTTGGTAACGCAAGGATTATTACTGCTTTGGGACTCTGGAACAGAACTTTTCCCCAAGAGATAGAATAAATGAGGGGGAGATCATTGCTAGGGCAACTTGTCAAGCTTCATGAGCCCCAGTCTTTCCTCAGTCAAGGGTTTCTGAAGCTCTTTTATGCGTAAGGTGCACCAAACTAAATAAAAATAATAATAAAAACATTGCACGGCCTATTTGGGTTCCCAGCACACTTGTTGACTGCACTTGTCTTAAGGAATAGCTGATCTTTAGGAAACCTATTTTGCATTCCAGGCAAGCAAAGGAGCGAATGACTGGGTCAAGAGAAGGACTGTGTAATGGACATCACTCTGAGAAAGCTGAGGCTTCGAAGTTCGAGTCAGTGATTGAGGAAACAGTTACCGGAGACTATGCACTGATCATGAACGGGCACAGCTTGGTAAGTGCCCCTCTTATCTGCAGCCAATGCTGCAAATACCCCTTATGTTTTTACGTCCCAGTGAATCAAGTGGGCGCAAAGCTCAGTATTGGCATTAGTTTCACACTAAAGTTTGCAAAGTTTCATAATGGGTTAATTATGCTCAGACTCGCAATCTCCAGTGTAGCCAGTCTCAAAAGAGCACAAGGGTGTTTCAGATGAAGAAGGCTCTTTGATCTCATCCTTCCCAAATAACCTCCCTACTGTCTTCCCAACGCAACATCAAACTGTTTCTCAAATGAGTCCCAACATCCTGGCCTCAACCACCCTTCAGTTCGTTAATTACCCTGATGGTGAATAAATATCTCCTGGTGCCTGTCCTTAAATTACCCTTGTTCTATGTTGAAATTCCTTTCCCCTTGTCTCTCTCCCACACAGGCTCACGCGCTGGAAGCAGATCTGGATCAGGAGTTCCTGGAGACAGCGAGCATGTGCAGAGCGGTTATCTGCTGCCGGGTCACACCACTGCAGAAAGCCCAAGTGGTCGAGCTTGTTAAAATGTACAGGAAGGCAGTCACGCTGGCGATAGGGGATGGGGCAAACGACGTCAGCATGATTAAAAGTAAGCCGTGCCCTCTTGTTCTCCTGCCTTGATGTCCAGACCCATTGTTATTGCTTGGATAGCTGCTGCGTAATGCTTTAAACAAACAAGGCCACTTACTCTTGATTCCTCTCTCCACAGCTGCACACATAGGAGTGGGCATCAGCGGCCAGGAAGGAATGCAAGCCGTTCTGGCCAGTGATTATTCAATCGCACAGTTCAGATATCTGCAGCGACTCCTGCTAGTCCACGGGAGATGGTCCTACTTGAGAATGTGCAAATTCCTCTGTTACTTTTTCTACAAAAACTTTGCATTTACCCTGGTGCACTTCTGGTTTGGTTTCTTTTGCGGGTTCTCTGCCCAGGTTAGTAAACGCCAATAGCATCTGGTTCCTCATCGTATGGGGCCTCCTTCCAAAACATCTCTCCCGGTGGCCTGGCCAACAATCCCCCAGATAAAATTGGCCACTCGCTCCATGGCTGTTTGTGGGACAACGCTGTGCGCCAATTGTCTGCCCTCAAAACACTGCACAGTCACTGCACTTTACGTAATGTCCTGTGAAATATTAGGGACGTCTCCCAATGTGAAAGGCCTCTATGCTAAATGTAAGGATTATTATTACTATTATTATTAGTGCTATTATTAGTCAGTGGAAAAGATCAATTCAGCTGTATCCACCCACGATTGGGTTCATTTGAAATAGAATTAGCTTTGTTCTCCATTCAGTCAATTTTAAGCTTGCGATCTGTGTCAGTATTGCCCATAGCATTGTGACCCACAAAGTGGGAGCAATACATTTCGACTTGACAGAAGCCTATTCTGTGATATGATGTGTTATCGAGACATCTTGCATTTTCCTAAGTATCAAAAGGATCTGATAATGGCGAACAAGCAATATTTCCATTTAAAAGCATTTTTTTTAAATAAAAATTAGCAGCTCGGAACAATCTGTTTCAGTGTCTGCAGTTTTCAAAATAATACGAAAAGGGTTTTAATATTCATAAATCCGTTCGAAAACCAAAACCCAGTGGGATTTGCTTCAAGGCCCTGTTATATTGAAATGGAAATGAAGTGTCTCGAAATCTTACAAAGGAAACTGTTCAGATGATGGAAAAGTTATTTATAGAAGCAATTCATTTGTTTGAGGAAATACACTGTGAGTCTTAAGCTTTGAGACGGGATCCGAGACCTTGGAAATGTGAATCTTGCAAAATCGGGCCAAATTAAAACCGCTTGACACAAGATTCTCAAAATATGTTTCCAAGAACCCGTACCTGTCTTGGAAAGATTCAGGGATCAGTTTTGACAAGATGACTTGCAAGCTCTCAGTATGACTATTTTTTTAAATATCTTTCCAGTTCCTATAATGAAGGTTTTACACAACTGCAGGAATAGTGGTCGTTTTTTTTAATGAATTATAAACTGTTGACTAGCAATTGCACCCAGGGCTAGATTTACTCCACTCATGTACCATTTCAGAGCTTAGCAGAAATTGGCAAATTGTTGAATTCAGTTTTAACTTTGAAGCTTGTCTTGTGCAGCTAAGTTACAGAAACAACGTCTTCAAAAATTAAAGGCCGTACTTTTAAGAACTCTGGACGCTTTGAAACGCTATGTTAATAGAGTAAATCTAAACCCAGGTGGAACCTCTACCCATATATATCTTATTTACTCTAAAGATTGTGAGCTTGACAGCTTCTGTTCTTGGTATGAGTATAAAGTAATGAAGTTTTTAAGAAGTTTTTTTTCACCCTCTTGTTCTTTTCTTCCAGACTGTTTATGACCAGTGGTTTATTACCTTATACAACATAGTTTATACTTCTCTTCCCGTCCTGGCCATGGGGATATTTGACCAGGTAAAGTAAACTTCACCGGGATTGAATTCAGTACCAAATAATTAAAAGTTCCAACTTGGCTCAAAAGTCTCTCAAAATTGGCTGCTGCGTTCATCCGCTTCAAACGTACACAGCCACTAACTACACTTTGCAGTAAAATCCTGTGAAGCGCTTTGAGGGATTTTCCCTCTGTGAAAAGCGCTGTGTCAAACGCAAGGATTCTAATTTTATTACGTTGCTGCTAAATGTGGAGCTCCGTAGCACATTGGTCACTCAATCCACGACTGTTTGTGGGACACTGCTGTACTCAATTATCTGCCGCGTTTCGCCCACAAATATACAGTCAATTCCCTTTACAGTATGTTCTGTGAAGCGCTTTGAGATGTCTCGGAAGACGTGACAAGGCGCTATATCAAATGCAAGGATTATTATTATTATGATGATGTGTTAAGAGTCTAATGTGTCTTTTCATAGGATGTGAACGAACAGAAAAGTATGGAGTACACTAAACTGTACGAGCCTGGGCAGCTCAACCTCTTGTTCAATAAACGAGAGTTCTTTATCTGCATCGCACAAGGAATCTACACCTCCATCGTCCTTTTCTTCATCCCGTACGGTGCATTTTATCACACTACAAGAGAGGATGGGACCCATCTCTCGGACTACCAATCATTTGCTGTTACTGTAGCCACGTGCTTGGTGATTGTGGTCAGTTTACAAGTAAGTGTTGTTTGATTTAAAAGCCTTCTGAAGAGTCTCGTTCTTTTTCTGTCGGGCGCGGACATTGCCACCTGCGTTGTAAAGGAAAGGCCGTCGAGGCCGGGACTCTGGTACTCCTGCACTCCCCCTCCCCCCACCTCCCAGCAATCCAGGAGAGAATGAGGTCAATTATGTAACAGATTTGCGTCGCTAAGAATAGAAGGCTTTTTGTTATTTCTTTATAATGAGATTTTAAAAAAATGTAATGAAAAGGTAACTATTTTCAGCGACCGTCTACGCACCAACGATCGCTGCAATGTGACAATCCACTCTAGACTCTTCCGCGTGCCTCAGCTGTGGTATCCATACTCTGTCCCCGTTCTCTGGAACGCAATCCCACGAGGTCTCTCCGACTCGCTCCCTCCCTCACCTCGTTCAATGTCCGTCTCAAGAGGTGCCTCTTTGACCACACTTTTGGTCATCTTTCATCTTCCCGGCTGCTTGGGTTCCCACCCCAGCTTGTGCGCCCAGCCAGCTGTGTCAAGCGCTTTGAGACGTCCATGGATATGAACGGTGCTGTTTAAATGTAAAATGGATTGGATTGGATGCAGTGCAATAGATCGTACAGCATCAAAAAAGGCCAATTGGCTGCCGCGTTTCGCCCACAAAATACACGGTCAATTCACTTTACATTATGCTGTGAAGCACTTTAAGAAGTCTCGAAGGCGTGAAAAGGCGCTACATCAAATGCAAGGATTATCATTACTATATTCACCCAAGGTTAAATTAATTCTCGGCAGGCTCCGGGTACAGTTGTGTCTTCTGAAAGTTGTCTGCCTCGTAACCTTTCGTAAGAGAGTCCGTGAGCATGCACTCGCTGCCTTAATTGTTTTAGAAACGCATCATTGTTTTTCCTGCCCGACATGAAGGTCACAGAGTAAAGAAAGAGAAGAAAAGGCCGGGGACTGGGGAAGAACTATTGATTTTACCCTCTCCAACGTGAGAGTCTCTCTCTGTCATTGCTGGTTTGCTCAATCTTATGCAGGCAATAGAAATGTAACAAGAAGGAATCCTTTGAGCAGCTGATCAAAATGTGTAGCTTGTCCAATTTATAGGATTGGTGCCATGCCCACACTGTGAGAAAATCGGTAACAAGATTCAGCTGAAACTACTCTTTGAACTTTGAACATGTTTGTTTTGCGCATAGACACACATACACAGAGAGACACACACACACAGGAGTAACTGTATCTTCTGGCTTGACATGTGGACACATCAAGAATTTAAAAAAATGTAGAGAAAACTGCATCATAAAATTACAGACGTGCTATGCATTAATGGAAGAGTTGCCTGTAGATGAGACCATTTGGATCATAGACGGAGATGATGTGAGGCCTTGTAGTTACAAAGAGAGTCTCGCAAACTGAATTTGTCATCGTTAGAGAAAAGGGGTTTGTGAGGAGCCATGGTCCATGGCTTTAAAGTGATAGGAAGCAGAGTTTAATTTTGATGTGAGCAAGTCACTTAACGGGGGCTGTGATTGTAGAGCTAAAGGTCGTAAGTTACAAAATTAATGAACTTCAAGCAAGACTTAGAAATTGGAAAAAAATTATTTTTCCCCCAGTGGATTAGCAGACGTGAGGAATACACTCCCGGCGAACGGGCTTAACTCTTATTTCAATTACATTTCTTTCAAAATGACGGGAAAACTAGAGCGGCAGTTTTACATGCAAGGCTGGACTTGGATGATCAGTACAGAACACAATGGGACATCTGCGAATGCAGTTTGGGTCGTAGCTCGCAGGTTGTGGCATTAGATTGTACCCTAATGTTCATATATATGATTCACACATATTGGCCCCAAATCACAGTGAGGGTCGGAACATGAACAGCACAAGAAACTTGTCAACACTAATGAGCGCTGTTTGATGCCATCTTCCCTTAACGATGTAAAGCTGCAGTTTCCCTATCTACAAATCTCTGACACCTCCCTACCTCTCTCACCCGCTTACTCCCCACTTCACCGCCCACCACCTCCTTCCTCTTAGCTTACTTCCTCCCTCCCTTGGCTTGGCATCAGGCTTTGCCACTGTTAAGCAATCCGAGACGCTACCCTGCATGAAAGGCGCAATATAAATGCAAGTTGTTGTTATAAACCCCGGCAGAATAGTAAGTGGTGGGCGGAATGGGGAAAATAGGCTGAAATATTAGGTTATTATTTATGAGCTAGAATAACAAATTAATAAAAGTGACAGAAAATAAAGATCAAAGTAACTAATCGAATTACCGAGTGCTGACTGGCCTGATGTATATCTTAAGTGGTTTATGATGAAATCTTGTTCTATCAGTCTGGCTAACAGCCAAGAACGCTTTGAAACGCTTTGTCCTGTATGGGGAAGCTATATAAATGCAAGTTTGTGGTTGTCGTTGATAAATTGTGCACTTTGGCTTGGGAGAAAATCTTTAAGTGTTTTTCGAAAGAAAAAATCACTGCAAAATGTGAAATGTTTGCATCACAAACCAAGCCTAAAATGGTAGGGAGTGGAGTGTCCAGGGCAAAGAGAATATTGATCAGAACCATGGATTGTGACCTGTGACCCCTCGCAAGAGGGCTTTGCGTACTGTGATGGATCTGAGGTATCAAAACGCTGTGCAATTCAATAAGCTATTATGCGGCTGCCCATCCCTGCCCTGTATCACTTTTAAAATGGAGTGACTGTATATTTTTGGAGGCGAGCCACTTGCACACAGCAATGTCCCACAAACAGCCATGGAGTGAATGGGCAATTTTATCTGCGAATTGTTAGCCAGTGACACGGGGTGAAATTCCCTTCTCTTTTCGAATAGTGCCACGGAATCGTTAACGTGCGCCAGAGCAGGCAGACCGGACCTCGTTTTCAGGCATCATCCAAAGAACATCAGCGCAGCCCACCCAACACTGCACTGGAATGTCAGCCTGTTTGTTTCTGCCAGTCGAAAATAGTCAAATCGTACCGGTCCACCAGGGGTTAATGTCCGTTATTGGATGCGCCTCGTGTTTGTATTGGTCGACAGAGAACTGCTTTCTGATACTTGAGAGCAATTCACAATCTTGATGTTAGAGCATCATCTGGTGGACAACATGGAAATGTATTTATTTTTCACCTTTGTAAAAAATGGCTCCCTCCTTAGGCCAGAACAATCCTTGCAATCTTTACAACAATCCTTGCATTTCATGTAATACCTGATCACGTTGTCAAAATGTCAATGTCCCACAAACAGCCATGAAGTGGATGACCAGTTTTATCTGGGGGATTGTTGGCCAGGACACCAGGAGAGAGAAACTCCCATTTCTTTTCAAATGGGATCTTTAACGTCCACCTGACCAGGCAGGTGGGACCTCGGTTTAACAAATTTGGCAGATTAATAAAGGCAGTTTTCTGTTAAAAAAAAAGTTTTCTTTCACGAGCTATAGAAAATACACAATTTTTTTAATGAAGAATTAACAAAAAAGAAAATAACGCTTCTATCAGGCTTCATTGCCCGCTCGTCATTGCTCTTGCGTTGACTGACTATTCACCGTTCAAATCGATCTCTGTGAAGGCACAAGACAGTTTGGAGGAGCTGCTATGGAGGGTTAGCCTCTGTGACATCTAATTCTATTTATGGTTTGTTTAAATGAATATGTGAATCTTTGCTGGCTGTTCACAACAAGTAGAGTTGGGCATAGATTAAAGATTAATGCAAATAAAACCTTGATTATTTTGTTTTGATTGTCTTTATAGATTGGCCTTGATACCAGCTATTGGACAGCTATCAATCACTTTTTTATATGGGGCAGTGTTGCCATCTATTTTTGTATACTGTTTGCAATGCACAGCAATGGCCTGTTCGAATTATTTCAAAACCAATTTCCATTTGTAGGTAAGTGTTAACCTCTTAATTGAACCATCTCTTCTTCATAACTTTCCTTTGGTTTATGAAACAAATAACCCAGTCAGGTATTGTCTCTTATAGTCAGTTGTTCTCTTTTAATTATTGAGGGTCCGAAATTCATAGTGAGAGATATTCATGGGTGAGACTCGCAGTAGTTTGGTTGAGAATCGTTAAATCGTAGATATTTACAGCGCAGAAGGGGGTCAATTTGTTCCATCGAGTACCCACTAGCTCTCAGAGCAAAACTTTCAATCCCCCTGTCCTGCCTTATCCTCAGAGACTCAAGCATAGTGATGGGTTTCTGCATGTGTCGGAAAAATCCTGTGAAGCGCTTTGAGACATTTCAACATGACAAGGCTTTGCAAGGATTATGACTGTAATATTATTCATCTATTAAAAAAGTATACAATTACATTGCAGAATAACACAATTTACCTTTGGCTGAGACTGGTATCAAATTTTAAAAATCCATTTTCCATGCCGATAGTAACTGGATTAACGTTGGTTCGGTTTACGTAGCGACTCTCTGGCTGGTAACATCCACTCTCAGTAACATCAACTGTACTTTTTTGACACGATTCCGTCGACCAGATATATCTGGTTCATAATTTGCCGCTGAGAGTGAATGATGTCAATCAAGATGCCATCGCGAAAGAGTTTCTTGTTTTATTTCGGTGTCTTAATTTGCCAGAGTGGCGAAAAGGATTTGGAGTGAGCGAATCCTGCAGATCTTATTATAAATCTTACTAACTTAGACCCCCATTGACATCAGTAGTTGTAAGGGTTTCCGAAGCATGATGACTTTTTTTATTTACCCTCTAGGAAATGCTCGGAATAGTCTGATCCAGTTTTCCGTGTGGCTTATCATAATGCTGACCACAGTGGTGTGCATCATGCCAGTTGTGGCATTCAGGTTCCTCGTGGTAGACTTGAAACCAACGCTGAGCGACAAGGTATCTCTTCCGTGTTCACAGTCTCCACTTTTTCCTCTTGTGTTTGTTTGTCCGCCCTGTTGTGACGCAGGACACCCTGCTTTACCCATTCTAACAGGGTTTCGGCCTACACTGTGACGGTTACGCTCATAGCGTTTTGCCTCTTATTTATCTCGGGTAAAATCATGGCTGTTTGCGGGACGTTGCTGTGCACAAATTGACTGCCATGTTTGCTGCCAAAATCCAATCACTGCACATCACAGTGAAATCCTGTGAAGTGCCCTAATAAGGCATCTCAATAAGCAATAAAATGCTACATCGATCGGCACAATACAATTTACATTTCTATCGTGCGTTCGAGTTCGGTTGCCTCCCCGAAGGGCTTTACACAGCTAAGCGGGCACCCGAGCTGGTGCGGGATGTCTTCATTATAAACTCACACATTTCTATAAGAGCTGTGTGTTCGCTTTGTTGCACCTTAGGTCCGTTACATGCAACGAGCCCGGAGGAAGCAGAGGCCACGCTTGCACCGCATGCGCAAGGTACATCGCAACAGCTCCCGGCGTTCCGGCTACGCATTCGCTCACCAAGAAGGCTACGGTGAGCTCATCACCTCCGGCAAGAACATGCGGTTCAGTAACCCGTCAGCGCCCGGCTTACAGGGGAGGTCAGTGTTGAACAGCGCCAGTTGGATCGAGACCTTACGGAAAAAGACCACAGAGACTGTGAACAGCTTTGGCAGCGACAGGCACCTCAAAGCATGAGTTGACCAGTACTTGGAGACAGAGCAGATGGCTCTACCGCTCACTCTAAGCCGTAACCTGCTCTGGGATTCACGCCTGCAAGGCTCGAAGGGACTGCTCGTGGGACAGTCGTAAACAGCGAGCGTTCGTTTCCGAGCTGTTGCGTATCATTTTTTGTAATACGTAGGGATGGGTTGCGTCACAAGGTGGGGATCGTGTCGCTCGCAGGTAACCCAAAGCGTTGGGAGAGTACTCCGACATTCCCGCAAACAGATATCTGAATGCAAAAAGGTTTTGAGTGGTAATCTGGGCAAAGGGTCTTGTTGGTGGGCAGGAAAGGGTGAAAGCCACAGCCTTCAGCAAACCTACTGACTGACCCCAATCATTCCCAGCTGTACTTTAAATTGCAAGTTTGTACTCCTTAAGCTGTAAATATTTTTGTAACTTTAAAATTTTTCTAAGAAAATAAGGAAAGTTTTTTTTTAAAAAAAGAGAAAAAAATACAAAGAGACCATGGGCTGGTTTGAAATCACGCTGCTTAATTTAATTGCGAGATCCCAAGCAACTTTTACGGAACCACAGAATTTTTAAATGCACACCATTTAGTTTTTCTGCCAGATAATGTTCATTTCTTCCTTTCACTGTTATGTTTTTCGGGGGTGGGTGGGGGAACAGGGTGAAACTCAATCTGATTGTATTCTGCAGCGGAATGTGACCCCTTTTTTTTTTGCAATGATCCTCTTTTGAGGGCTTAAGGTGCCTTTTCGGTTTCCTTCGGGGAGGAAACTGTTTTTTATTTGAATGTGCGTTACTGAAAACAAAACATTTGTCTGTCACCTGGAAACTCTTTGCGTTTTCCCCTTAATTTTGAGGCCTAAACTGAGCTTTCTCTGTCGACGTACAACCAACTTGCTGCTCTTGTGTGGATTGCTGCATTTTTAACACAAGGCGGTTTCTCGAACATCGTTGCTCAACGACAACTTGCGTTTACACAGTGCCCTTCGCGTAGGTTTGACGTCTCGGAGCGCTTCACAGTAGCGCGGTCGGATACCAAGTAGGTGGAACGAGGCGGAGGATAGAGAGAGGGTAACTAGGGTAACTAGTTACTCTGGTCGTTCCAGTCTATCGGTCTCAGTTGCCTACAAGGGAGAAATAAACAGGACTTACACAGCTGAAAGAAATTGGCAGTTATTGATCTTGGTTCTGATGCTGTGTATATCCATTGATAGATGTCTGCTTCTCAGTTCTCTCCCTCCCTGCACCCCCTTCGCCCTTCCCCCCACCCCCACCAGCCAGCAATGCCTCACGCTTCCATGCTCAGTTGGGAGTAGAGAACTCTTCTCCGGTATTTCCTCACTGTAAACCTATCTTTTATCGCTTTTCCTCAACACTACTACATTCAGACTTGGCAGCTTTTGAACTTCCAACTTTCGTTTGGGCCCTGAGCCTCAGTAAGGCATATCCACCATCCTCTCCCTTTAAGTGATTTTAAGAACGATATCCTGTCTGTGTCATGTGTCGAGTCAGTGCCCTTCATTCCATTGTTCCTGTTTCTGGGCCTTTTTTGGTGTCAAATTCTGCCACACTTACAAACGGGACATTTGCTTCACCTGCCCATCGACCACAACTGGTGCCTTAGTTGCCTATCTTCTAGGCCTGATTTCAGACTATGAGCATGGTCAGAATCTTTAGTCGTGGGCACTTTGTGAACATTTTACTTGAAATACTAAAAGATCACCCTTCATGTCATTCAACAGTCCCTCACAGTCCCTTTGGGTTATACATACCCTAGTGCCTTGGTGGGGCTGATATATTGGAATATGGAGAAAACTTACATTGTACAAAGGGGGCGAAAGACAAACCAAAGGTGTCTGGCATGACTTGAAACACTTGAAATTCGCATGATTTGATATTGAAATGTGCACGAATGGGGTGGTGAAAAGAAACAAGGTTGGATTTTTCCTGAGAGTTTTCTATCTTGGGTCCAGACAAATGGAGATTTCTCCTGTCTCCGACACTCCTGGCTTTCCTTCTTAGATGCTGTTCATTGTTTAATCACAAATGATTTCCCTGCCTACTCCCCAACTCGCCTGCCTTGGAATACGGGCGGTGAATGTGTCCACAAAACCTTGATGCCATATCACAATGAACAACATGCTGCTGGGTTGCAAAGTTGTCTTGTAAGTGACCTCTTCTTGGTTTTGGGGGTCTACACGTATGTGCAACGTGCCTCTAATCATGGCTCCAAATCTGGTTCCAGTTTCATATTCTATTCCAAAAATCCTCTGTCCAAACCCATACATCTGTATGTGCAATAGAGTCCGGTTGTGGACACTAGACTGGGTAGCTTAAAAATTTATCTGACAACTATAGTACTTGTGATTGAATAGGTAATTTTTATTTCCAAATTTATTTGTCTATTATTTTCAAACATTGGTGCATTAGGATTGCAGTTAATTGGATCTGGCTTGTCTTAAACATGGATTTCCGTTATTTTCAAAGCTCCGTGGAGAGAAAATCATATCTCAGAGAATATTCACAGCTAAAGGTAAATGAGTCGAGTAGGGGAACAGAGGGGCATTGTGCATTAGGCACACTGCCCTTCCACCTCTGGTGCCTGGTGTTGAATCCAGCACAGGTGGAAGAGTCAAAACTTCCTCTCTTCTGTAGAAATTCCAAGCCTTACGTTGAAAATATTTTTTGCCAGTCTTTTTGTCAAAACAGCCAATAGAGGGGACGGCACACAAAATGAGAAGCATGCCCACAATTTGACACAGGTTCTGCATAAAAGCCAAAAAACATTTACTGCCATCCTCAAGCAGCTCAGCTCTCTGTGCGTATCTGTTCGTGTACCTGGACAGTTCATATAATCATAGAATTATACAGCACAGAAGGCGGCCGTTCGGCAAGGTCAACATTCCCTTTTTGTTGCATCCGTTTGCTCCAAAATAAAAGCACCAGAATGTACATTTTGTATTTTTTTTAAAAGATATGTTTTTTAAACTATTATTCGAAACTTCAGTTAATCACTTGTTATCTTTCATCACAAGGCATGTTCGGCAGAAACCTATTTTAGATTCAAGGAATGAAAACAATTAAATTTCCGAAGTTTGTCTTATATTGGTGAATGATCACATGCATCTGTAGTTCTGAAAGCAAAATGGTCATACATTGTTTCTCAGTGCAATATTAAAAAGTGTACATTGTACAAAAATGCATGTTTTTATTACCAAAGAGTTTCATCTCTTTATTTGTAAAATGCGGAGAGATGCGGGGATGGGGGTGGGAGGGGAGAGAGATGTTACGTGGAAAGTGTTTACATCATCTGTCGAGTTCCACTATTCTATAAATCTCTATGGAAAAAAAGTTTGTTTATAAACTTTGTGCTTTAATTTGCTCTATTTTGTCATTTGTGTTTTCTGCTACAAACGCCTTTGACTCTTTTGAAATCTTGACCAATTGCATATTAAAGTCTGTAAACTCTGTCCTACTTCTCCGCCCACCACCCTATCCTCCACCCCAGCACAGCTTGCTTGAACGAATTTTAATTGAAAGCATCTCTAAACAATATTCCTGATTCTTAACCTAGAAGAATATTGGCCAGGCCATAGGGCAAAACACCCTTCTCTTGTCAAGTACTGCCATACGATCATTTACTTCTCTTAACAAGTAGACAAGAACTCAGTTTAATGGATCTCCTAACAAGAACCACCTCTGCAATGTCTCATTCTCTCTCCAGTGTTGGCCTGGAGTCCACAAGCTCATGTCCTGACATGAGAGCTTCAATCTGCCGCAGATATAACAGTGCCACCAACCAAGCCAAACCTTCCACAATTGCAGGGATCCTTTTGACCCAGAACTGAGCAAGTGCTCCGCAATGTGCTGAATGATCAAGCAGCCAGAAAATCAGCGAATGAGGCAACTCCATATGAATCTGTAAAAAAAAGTGAAGTGACTGCCAGGAACACAGTCTTTTATAAAGTGTGAAACATTCAGGTAATGAATTCGCCCCTTTCTTTACGACTTATGGCACAACACATCATTGTCTGGCTCCAGAGAGCAAATAATAATCCCTCTGCCAAAGCCTTACACTACAACCCAGGTGTCAGAAGGTGTCCAGAACAAATCCAGTGACTCTATTGTCTCCAAATCCATTGACCTCACAACAACAACAACAAAATTACATTTATAGAGCACCTTTTACGTGGGGAGGACATTCAGCTGAACGTGCTGAACAGTCAGATGACGGGGCCTGAGCATGGGGGAGGGGTAGTGTAGGGGTGAGGGAAGGCAGAGAGGGGGGGAGGGAGGCCAAAGGCATGGTCAAAGAGAAGGGTCTTGAGATCGGCCTTGAAGGATGCAAAGGAGGAAGCGAGGCGAAGGGACCGTGGGATGGAGTTCCAGAGTGTGGGGGTAGAGAGGCTGAAACCCCGGCCACCTAGAGTGAGCAATAACAACAACAACAACAAAATTACATTTATAGAGCACCTTTCACGTCGGGAAATGAACCAGAGTTAGTGACCGGGCAAACCAAACAAAACTAGGGCAATTTACAGCCACCGTGACTGTGAACGCATATCACAGAACGACTCCTAATTTGTCGGTAGTCACACGGAACTGCGCTCCGAATAATCAAATCTCGTCCTGATGAAGGCATGTAGGCAAGGGTCTCGGTATTTCAGGTGAGCGAGGTTGTGGAGCTGAGGGAAAGCCGAGTGAATGAGACCCCGTCGTAGGGATTGAAGGACGGATGCTCAAGTGGTATCACGTAATTCCTGGGTCACAGAGATTCCCAATCCCAGCAGGTTGGTCAGCATTCTAACCATGGTGAAAGGCTCTGCCAATACTCATTATCTCTTACTTGAAAGATAATAATAATAATCCTTTCATCACAAACTGTTCCTATGCTGTTTGTCTTTCTCCCTGACCTCCAGTTCAGATTGTTTCAGTATTAAGTGCAAAGTGAGTGAGGGTAACACAGCATGTTTATAACTATCAATGCTGGACTACATTTTCCCTCAACCCTGACTGGCCTATACCTCGAAATCAAGATCCTCATCCTCACCTTCGAATTCAAGATCCTCACCCTCACCTACAAGGCCATTCACGGCCTCGCTCCCCCCTACCTCTCCGACCTACTATCCCCCTATCTACCTGCCCGTACCCTCCGTTCCTCTGGCTCCGGTCTGCTCCACATCCCCCGCCCCAACCATCGGTGGCCGGGCCTTCAGCCTCTCAGCCCCTAGGCTCTGGAACTCTATCCCCCAGTGCCTTCGCCGCTTCCTCCCTTTCCTCCTTCAAGGCCGGTCTCAAGACCTTTCTCTTTGACCTTCAGCCTTCAGCTCCCCTCTCGACTCTCTACCCCTTCCTCGCTCCCTCCCTTCCCTCTCCTCACCCTGACCATTTCACCCTTGCTCGGGTCCTGATCCAACTGTACAGCACCTTGGGACGTCCTCCCGACGTGAAAGGCGCTCTATAAATGGAATCTTGTTGTTATTGTTGTTGTTTAATTCTTTAGGAGTAGAATCTGTTTTCTATGCGCTTGAGTGTTTAGTCTGTTTACAGTGTTGCTCAGGTAGGTCGAAGCATGTACTTGAAAGAGTTGGGGTGGAAAAACAAAGGCAGCAGATGTGTAAATACCAGGAAAGTTCACATCAACTATTGCAAAGAACAAAGAGACAGCTCCCCCGGTTGCTCACAGACTCAGCTGTGCTCCGTACGGTGCAAAGGGAGCCTGGCGTTGACTTCCTGGCTTGTCATTCAGGGCATTAAATCACATGAGGGCTATTTCTGGAGAGCAAGTGGAGAGCAGCGCCTGACGTGAAGGTCAATCGCAATCAGAGAACTTTTCTCCTTCGCCTCACCGGAGCCCTGCTTGGCCTAGTCAACAAGTAGCTGCACAATTCAGGTTTGTGTTTTTTTACCGAATGCAGCAAGTCAACGAATTGCAGTCTGTGGCACGTCCACAGCATTGCAGTGTGCTGCAGGTAAAACAGCAGCGACCCTGTGTTAAGGGAGCAATATGTGACCTAACAGGGACAATCAAAGTTGAAGGGTATTGAGTGTGGGTTAAAGAGTAGTTCCGATTTGTTTTGGGCTCGTTGCGGTCTTGCCTCTTACTGATATGTTTTTTGCCAGTAATATTTTCGTTGACCGCTGATTTTTCGTCTTTCGATCCCTTTTGCTGCCGTTCTGCCCCCGCTCTTGTGATGGGTGGTCGGGAGGGATTTCAGTGGCAATGCTTCTGTCAGGTGGCTGGTGTGAGGTTGGGATATTTCTGCGCTCCACAGGGAAATGAATTTCTCTTCTTTCTGTCTTTCAATACCATGTCCTCTGCGGTCACGGCAATGTGGGATCAGGACTAGGTCATTTGCCCGGAACACAAGGCTGCTCTGGCTTTGGCCTGTTTGTCTCATGTTTGGTGAAGTTGTGTAGTTCGATAGAAGTTACATTCTTATCTCATTCAGTTAACTGTAACTCGCCAATTGCTGAATTCTGGGATACTCACTTTGTGCCCTATAACGCGGACATATTTTTGACGGGAGGAATGGGGGGGGAAGGTAAAAATGATCCACTACGATTTCTCTTCTGTAAGAGTGAACGTCGTTTAGGTATCTTGATGAACCAAAAGAAAACAAACTCTTGAATGATCCAAAAATAGGTGATATAAATAGGTTTATAATGTATATTGCTAAAGTTGCTATTTTGGCGTCAGTTTTAGGAACAGAAGTGGAGAGATTTGCTTTCACCTGGTGCAGCAAAGAACATTGAATGAAACTGGACACAGGCCTCAGTCCTTATTCTGCTATGTGAGGTATGCTGCTTTGCAGTTTGATGGACATGAATCGCAAAAGCTGTATTGATAATAATAATAATCAACAGCTGTAGTACAGTGAACCTCATATAAGTCGTATCAGTTGGGACCATACACTTAATATGACTTATGCAAAGTATGAGTTACATGAAACTTATACGAGTTTTACTGTATATCAAAACATTACAATATTAATTTTTGCGTGGGTTTGTGTCCTGGAGTTGTGCATTTGTTGAGTTATTTGACAGGAATGTACACAGTCATCAGTAGAACACAGTGTTTGAGCCTTGCTAACGATGGAACTGTTCAGCTAATTTCACACGTGCACAGTTCAGCCACTCTAATAGTTCAGACCTTGAATGGGCTCATCTCAAGAGTGCTGTGTGACCTCTACGAATCTTGTAGGATTCGTTCTCTGCTCAACCAGACTTTCACTTCAGAAATCCCTTGCAATACCTTTCAGTTCAAGAGCCACCGTTTGTGTAAATTGTCTGTAGAATTCATTGCTTTCACCCCCAGCCTTTGGTATTTAATAATTTTCCCTCATCGTCCAGGGTAGAAAATAAAATCATTTCAATTATAAGTTTTGCATCAATTATTTCTGTGTTATTATCACGCTTAACCTACAATGGGTTGAAAAAATTGGTAGGTGATAATGTGATGATTAACAATAGTATAAGTTGTACTATGAGAGTACAATTCTTTAAAATTGACGCGTTTTCTTTCTAACTACGATTCACTAAAACCTGCCACCCAGGTTTTTTTTTTCCAGTCCTCTGAACTTTCCCTTTTAAAAATGTTTCTTCTTCATGACCCATCGGTGCTCTGAAAAGCCACTGATGTCACAGTAATCCTAATAGGAATTGATATTTTCCTTCCAGGTCAGAAGGAAGGGGAGGCAGTGCCCTCACGACCATCTGTGGGTGAAGCTGCACGAAGGCTGGCACTCTCTGTTCATTTTAAGCCCTATGCTTTTCTCCTAAAGGGGGGCTTGACTGGGCACAGGTTGCACCACAGACCGGTTCTTGGTCTACGTCCGGCTCGGAATGGCCTGCTTCTTCCGTGGGGCGATAAACTGCTCCTCTCCACTGTTACGCAACGCCCCGGTGCCCAGAGTCCGGCGAGCCCTCTGCAAACGTTACTTTGGATCCCAGCAAACCTTGTGGAACCAGCAAACTGTTAAAGGTGAGCAACTTATTTTTTTTTTTTACTTACTTTACCTCGCCCTTGGATGGTTCCGTTTGTCATTTCGATTGCCATAGCGCGACCGATTTGTTTCGCGAGCAATGCGCCCGCTCTAAACGCTTCCCATACAGTTGACCGTACTCCTCCTCGTCTTTTAGCCAGTCCCGTCTCCAGCGTCACCTTTTGTAAAGACGATCCTGGAAAATTCTGCGGCATTTACAAGCGTCTGCAGCTAATAAAGCTAATCGGATGAATATAGAAAGTACGGGATTTTGCACAGCTGTTGAGGCGCTGACCTAAATAACTGTTCGTTCAACTCGTATTTCATCCTCGCCTTGAATAAAACCAAACTTTTGTGCTTTTGACACGGCAGCTTTCTCTCAATGTTAGGCGTGCGTCAGCCAGTCAGTGCACGGAAAAAGGTCGAATAGAGGTGAAAGAGTTTGGTTATCTTAAGCTCCTCGTCCAACTTTTGAGTGGCATGAAAAAGCACGGCTCGGATGTTTTTTTTGAGGGTGCCCCTCTGTGTTCAGGGAGGCTTTACCGGGAGCGTTACCTTGTTTTTTTTTGTAGATGTTTATAGTTAGAAATCACAAAATCTCCCTCAGTGCAGGTCTGCCTTTTCCTGGGCCCATGTCGGGCTCTGTGCCAAGCAGCTGTTCACAATCACTAAAACTCAGGACAGTTCCCCTGCCAATAAAGGAGAGATATTTGAGAACAGCACGTGAACAGTGAAAGAGCAACTACAGGCCCCCTGAGAGCTGCGCCTAGTGTTTGCGTTGAGATTACAGATAAGAGTCAGTGTCCTGGTCACAGACCATCTTTAATTTATTGATCGACTGCATCAGACACATTCAAAACCTGGATACCGCTGTACTGATTTATTGATTTCTGGGGTTACGAGCAAACCTGCGCGGTCACTATTTTAATTCACAGACGCAGGCACATGTCCAAAAATGGATGATTCTTGGGAAAAGAACATTCTCTTTAAGGTTTTGATGAACCCCACTACATGCCGTGGTAATGGTTAACTTGTGTTTGCGAACCTTAAAGGAACTGTGGAGCGATAATTTGGTATTACTTACTTATTGTGATCCAAGGAATGCTTGGCCTAAGCTATTTTTAACAGCAAGTACGTGTTTTTTGAGCTATTTATTTTTTAAAACATGTAAAGTATATATAGGGCACTGCGGTGCTGAAGAAAAGCCAGCTGAATCATCAGTTTTTGGGATTCTAGATTTGCAGCAATGAGGATTTCGAGAAAAGAATAGGTCATTCAATAGAATCAATTCTACTCCTCGTTGCGTAGCTTGGTTCTCCAGGAGCTAATGGGTTCGCAAGGCCCAGGGAGGGAAGAAGACTTGCATTTGATACAACCCCTTTTACATCGGGAGGATACCTCAGTAAGCGCTTCACATGATTTACTGTAAAGTGTGATGACTTTGTGTATTTTGTAGGCAAACGAAGTAGCCACTTTGCGCACAGCAACGTGCCACAAAAGAGCTTTGAAGTGATTGAGCAATTTGATCTCGGGGATATAAATTTGTAATACAAGTTTGATCTGGGAGGATATAAAAAGCCCAATACAACTGAGGAAGCCACCTTGTGTTCAGAGAAAATAAGATAACAGAAAGTGGCTTCAAGTGTACATTTACAATCCTTGTGCGGTAAACTGTTCAAGCATAACTCTTGATCTGTATTTAGTGTCTTTGTAAGCCTCCTAATGGGAATGCAGATGTTTAACTCACTCCCAGACTGTCTCCTTGTCTGACTGCCAGGATGCGAACTTTACATTGGAATTTGAAATGATAGCAACATCTAGATTGTTAATGATGGATTGAAGGTTCATTAATTTACCGTCCAGCCCATCTGTGGCCATTATCATAACGCAGCTGTTTCTCTGAATTGTGGCTAGTAATAATTGAATTGATTTTATAGATGTCAATTTTGTAATATATCGTCGCCATTTGCTCAAAAAAATGTCTTAATGACCCAGTTGTTTTTCATGAATTGTGCTATCCAGCAGACACCCATAAAACCGAAGGAAACCTGCCAAAATGCTAATGGAAACTTACCAAAGCTCTGATCGTAAGGTTTGACCTGCTGAGATCCAGCCAAGTGCAACATTTCTGGATCATTAAGGAAGAACATGTGGGGGCGAGCATGTCAGTTTGTGTCAACTCTTGCAGTTGCAACAGTTGGATAAAGCTTTCCCAATTATCTTAAGACGCAATTAACAACTTTTCCCGTCGCCTCACGTAGGTGTCCTTTACAAAGACTTGGTTGTTGGCATTCCCAAAGAAATCTACAAGAATGAGAGACGAGTGGCCGTGTCGCCTGCCGGTGTCCAGGCTCTGGTCAAGCAAGGGTTTAACGTGAAGGTGGAGAGCACGGCTGGCGAAGGAGCCAAGTTCTCTGATGACCAATATCAAGAGGCCGGAGCCATTATTAATGACACAAAAGATGTTTTTGGATCCGATATTGTTCTAAAGGTGAGTGCAAGAACAGAAACAACAACTACTTGCATTTATACGGTGGTTTTCACATAGGTTGACGTCTCACAAAGCTTTCCAATGTGTCAGACTCATCCTACTGTCCTCCCGTCATAGCATCGAGCTGCTTCGTAAATGAATCTTGGTGAGGGCAGGGCTACTCGATGCCCTGCCCTCAACCACCCTGCTAAAAGACAGATAGACAGACAGAGGGGTAAGAACACAGTCACTACTCCTGACACCAATTACATCTAAGCGCTTTGACACATTAAATCAATTGCAAGCACTATTATTACTGAATCTAACCCAGAATAACTGGGATACATTGAATACAACAAAGAGAACACCACTGAATTTTACCCACTTTTCTCTTCCCCAACTATTTTGGAAAACAATTATCGGGTACATATTGTCCTAGGCTTTTCAAAGGGAACATCTTTGTTTAATACAGAACCGTTTACTCCATGCTTGAGCCAGGGTGCAGTGCAGATTGCATGGGGACTACAGGTAGCGAGATCTCATGGAATTCACACATAGTTCTGATCTTATTAGTAGAGCAGTCTATTGAGGATTGAGAGTCCAAGATTCCCTGGCAGAGAGAGAAATTCAAACAGGATGGGTGGTTTGAGAAAAATTGTTGAAAGGAACGAGCAGATGCTTTGAAAGATTTCTCTCTTTGAATCCTTGAATATTCTGCTACTGTGTAGTAACAGTGACCTGGGTCCTCTTGCCCCTCCTTTTCTCACATCAGGAAAGGATGCATAATAAATCTAATATAATATAATCTTTGCATTTGATATAGTGCCTTTCACGTTGGGCGGGTGGGGGGTGCGTCTCAAAGAAGCACTGATTTTGACCTGCAGACGTCCCTGTGTTTCTGAGTTGCCGTGTTCGGAGATATCCTTGAATTGGAATAAAAGGGCTTTCTCCCCTTGTGAGGCAGGCCAAAACTTTGGAAACCTGCTCCCCTAAAAGAGATACTACATACCACTTTGGTCTCTTGTTTGCTTTAAAGCTTAGCAATGTTTCCATGGGTTCGCTGTACTCTCTAATGGTCAATGGAATCGATTGACCATCTATTGTTATTGTGATTGTCTTACTTTGCAGGTCAGGGCTCCGATCTTTAACGATGTCCTGGGAACACACGAAGCAGATCTGCTGAAGGAAAGGGCGACCCTCGTCAGCTTTATCTACCCTGCACAGAACGCTGATCTTATGGACAAACTCTCCCAGCGGAAGGCCTCCGTTCTTGCTATGGATCAGGTGCCTCGAGTGACTATAGCTCAGGGATACGATGCTCTTAGTTCCATGGCTAACATAGCAGGGTATGGAGAACTGTTGCGTGTTTTACTACGGCATTCTGTTTTAGAAGCAGCGTCCAAAACTCTTGTAAAGAAGGTCATGACTGAGCAAACAGCCTGATGAAAATCAATGGACATTTTATCGGTAGCATTTTCCCCTTGCCAAAAGAAAAATGATTTTGAAAAGATTCCTATTTGTTGACTTGGCATTTGATAGCAGAAGAAGCAATTGGCCCCAAATTCCACCTGGCCTTGGCCAGTATGACCGCCTTGCCTTAACATTTAAGGTAGAGCAAACTTCTGAATGATTCCATCCTAATTTGGAAGCCAGTTTTTTGCAGCAACTCCAAAGAAGAGACTTCCAAAATAAGATGAGGTAGAATTTCTGGCCTTAGCTGAGTATCATTATGGCCATACAAGGTTTTCGTCTACTTTTGGTTGGGTGATTTTCTTTGTTTGTAAGTTTTGTTAATCCCCTTTGTTCATGTTTTATTGTGGGCCAATGTTCCCGAGCCTAACCTGCGACCTATCGGCCAAAATTCCTGCTTAACCAGGAGCTGTCTAGAATGGCCACTTAATTTTCCCTGTGAGAAAGAATGACCTACTCGCTCATTCCTTCCCACAGAACAAAATTCAGAGCTCACCCCTGGAGGGAGTAGGTGGAGAATTGAGACCCAGGCTGTGTGGCCTCGTTAACAGTGCCCTTCATATAACTGCAATTCCAATACAATGACTCCCTTACTTTCCGAAAACGTGCTCTCAAACAGACGTTGTTCTCAATCCTTCCAGGTACAAGGCTGTGGTTCTGGCAGCGAACCACTTTGGTAGATTTTTCACCGGTCAGATAACAGCGGCTGGGAAAGTGCCTCCTGCAAAGGTAATATTTGGTTTGTCACGAATAAAGCTGGTGGTGGGATTTGTAATGAAAAGCCAGTGTGATATTGTGAATGTCAAATGGTTCCAAATATGTAATTTTATTGTAGTGTTTTATTCCTCATGGAACTTATCCAAGTAATAATCATGTATCTAAGGCCTCGGAAAGCAGATCAAGCACATTTTCTAATTTAAAACGGGGTGTGTTTGTTGCAGGACTGATGGATCTCATTAGATGCCATTAAGGGTACTGTACGCGGTTGAGAAATCTGCTGGAGTCACTTAGCAGTGGTAAAGCAATACTATATTCCCGGCGTGAACTGCATTCGAAAGCGCTGCCAACATTTTCAGATCTTGTTTAGCCTTGCCCAACTCTGATCTTAGCCAGCGGGTTAAAAAGGGAGAAATTCCTAACACGTTGTAACTGCTTCCTGGATGAATGGGAGCTCCATGCAGCTTGCACTCCGGAGGGTGACTCTTTATTTTGGGGGTGATTTAGGTAATAAGAAGATAATAATCCTTGCATTTGACACAGTGCCTTTCATGCTCAAAGTGTTTCGCCGGATTTACTGTACAGTTGAATGACCGTGTTCTTGTAGGCGAACCTAATTTGCAGAAACAATTTGGCAACAGCCAAGAAATGACTGATCATTTTTTTCTAGGGGATTGTTGGCCAATACACCAGGAGAAACTCCCTTCTCTTTGCCACAGGATCTTTAAGATCCAGCTGACCAGACAGATGGGACTTCAGTTTAACATCTCAACTGAAGGATGAGCAGATGTTATAATATAGTAATAATAATACGCCTTGTATTTGATATAGCGCTTTCCACGTCTTCTAGACGTCTCAAAGAGCTTCAAAGAATAGACTGTAAAGTGAATTGACTGTATATTTGTGGGCGAAATGTGATTATGTTACATAGATAGACACTCATATCTATTCCAATGATATTAATAATAATAATAAATTGGTCACTTTAATCCATGGCTATTTGTGGGACACCGCTGTGCGCAATTGGGTGCCGCATTTCGCTCACAGAATGTATTGTCAATTCACTTTACAGTATTTTCTGTGAAGTGCTTTGAAATGTACCAAAGACATGATAAGCCACTATATCAAATGCATGGATTATTATTATAATGATTAACCTGAATAATAATCCTGGCATTTGATTGCAGTTTATGTGCCCCTGGCTTTGAGCATTCTCTCTCTCAATTGATCTCCTAACGTTTACAATATATTATACTTTTGATAGGTATTGATTATTGGTGGTGGTGTTGCTGGATTAGCAGCTGCTGGAGCTGCGAAATCGATGGGAGCCATTGTACGTGGCTTTGACACCAGGTAAAGCTGCTTTTGTTACTTGTGGCCGTATTAAATAGTGCACTAACTTAACTCAAACTATAATCGAACATCTGGTAAACGAAAAGAAGTTAGCTGCAGTCTTAGATAAAAGAAATGGTAAATATCATCGCATTAGTGGCTGGTATTGCGCAAGGCGAGCCGCCCATACAATCTTGTGGCTTGTTACAGGACAATGTAAATGCCGTGTGTTACCGAGTTTTGCTGTGAGTCAGGTGGAAATTGCACACTGTTACCTTACGATCACATCCCTTCTCATCAACACACCCTGTTCCTGTGCAGACCTCCGGCCTTGGAACAGTTTAAGTCACTGGGAGCAGAGACCCTGGAGGTGAATCTGCAGGAGTCGGGCGAAGGGGTTGGTGGCTACGCTAAGGAGATGACTAAAGAATTTATTGAAGCAGAAATGGCTCTGTTTGCCAAGCAGTGTAAAGATGTGGATATTATCATAAGCACTGCTCTGATTCCAGGTACTCATTGAACCCAAATGTGTACCATTACTAAGTCTTATAGCATAACCACTCTTGCACTTGATATAGCGTCTCATCACGTCATCAAAATTCACTTTAAAATATATTCTGTGAAGCGCTTAATGACGAGATGAGGCGCTATATCAAATGCCAGGATTATTATTATCAAAATGTCTCAAGGCACTTCCCAGAATTCACTGAAAAGTGGACTGACCTGAACAGGCAGATGGGACCTCGGTTTAACATCTCATCCAACAATGCAGCGCTCCCCTAGCACACATTGGAGTGTCAGTCTGGACTGTGAGTTCAAAGTCCTGACGGGGGCACAGCTTAAGCGCTCAACCTTCTAATCCAGCAGCAAGACTGCTACCGACTGACGCCTAAAATCAGAAATAAGAACCTCTCCTGTCCATTATCTCTGCTTGTTTTTGTCGACGTTCAGTCTGTTCTGTTTCACGGTTACCTAGAGCAAGTTGCCACCTCTGCATTAAGATGGTAACTAATGTGCACCTGTGCTTATGTGTCTTACAGGAAAACGCGCACCAATTCTTATCACCAGGGACATGGTGGACACAATGAAGGACGGCTCTGTTGTCGTCGACCTTGCAGCAGAAGCAGGCGGTAATATACAGACAACTAAACCTGAAGAGCTCTTTCTATATAAGGTCAGTAGAAACATAGGGGAACCTCATTGCGATGCCCTGCAATCCAGTGCTGTCTCGTAAGGTAATGGAGTCCAATCAGAGGAATTTTTGGGGGGTGAGGTGGTGCAAATGGATTTGTATGTCGCCGATTTCTTATCTGATCCGTTTCTTTCTCTATTAGGGTGTGACGCACATAGGCTACACCGACCTCCCGAGCAGAATGGCTACACAGGCCAGTAGTCTGTACTCCAACAACGTCTTAAAGCTGCTGAAGGCCATTAGCCCCGACAAGGAATACTTTCACTTTGACGCCAAGGAAGAGTTTGACTATGGAACTGTCGATCATGTGATCAGAGGCACTTTGGTGATGCAGGTAATGTGTTTACTACAAAACAAATCATTGCAGTTTGTATCTGGTATTTTTCCGGAGGATGTCTCAAAGGGCTTCACAGGATTTTACTGTTAAGTGCAGTGACTTGAGTATTTTGTAGGCGAAACACGGCAGCCAATTTGCACGCGGCAATGTCCCACGATCAAGCCGCGAAGCGAATGACCAATTTTAATCAGGAGAAACTCACTTAGTCTGGCTGACACTCCAATTTAGTGCTGCGTGAGCCCTGCACGGTTGGAGATGTTGTCCTTCAGACGAGACGTTAAACTGAGGTCTTGTCCACCTATTCAGCTGGATTTTAAAGACCCCACGGTACGATTCCTAAACAGATGATAATTTCTTCCAGTGTCCTGGCCAACAAATCCACCAGATAAAAATTTGTTCTTTTTCTTATGAGTTTCATTTAAGAAACTTACAGAAAACCAGCTTCGACGTTGAGACTGAATTCAGCAAATTGCCGAATTGTGCACGTTGTGAAAAGCATGCAAACCTAGTCCTTGGTGGAATTTCTCACAGATGGTTTTCTCTTCACTCTTGCCCCACAGGAAGGCAAAAATCTGTTCCCGACACCGCAGCCGAAACGTGTACAGCAAAGCGCGCCAGTCAGGCAGAAATCCGTGGCAGATATTGAAGCAGAAAAGCAACTTACAGTATCTCCTTTCAAAAAGACAATGACCTCCGCTGGTGTCTACACAGCAGGTAAATACAATAAACAAATAACAGCTGCGTCCACTGAATGGTGAAGACGGTTTTCCATTTGGCCTATTGAGACTATACTGGTGCCAGCTCCTCCACTGGAGCTAACTACAAATTCCGATTCTGCACCTTTTTACATTGTTCCTCTTCGCTGATCTAGGTTCATTGGTGGAAAATGGACCTAACTGCAGTGTTGATTTGCCTCAGGTCTCACTGGAATCCTGGGCTGGGTCTGAGTGCCCCGAACGTTGCTTTCAGCCAGATGGTTACAACCTTTGGTCTGGCCGGCATCGTGGGATATCACACAGTCTGGGGTGTGACTCCAGCTCTTCACTCGCCGCTCATGTCAGTCACTAACGCCATCTCAGGTAAGCAATTTACAAAGAACCATTCACATAATGACCTATTGCAATTACTGGTTTGCTTTAGGTTGATCAAGCGCAATGAGGATGACCCCAGTGTTCCAAGGAATCTACTAAATGAACAATGATTAGACAAGCTCAATCTTTAAAAAAAAGGCGGAACTCCATAGAGGTGTATAGGATTTTCAATGAGATTGAGAAAGTAAACCCAGAACAATGCTTTCAGATATGTTAATACAATAGAACTAGAGGACACAGGTTTATAGTTGCAAAGGGCAATTTCAGGACAAACACCAGAAACATTTCTTTACCCAGAGTGTAATTAACAACTGGAAAAGGTTACCAGCAAAGGTGTTGAGGTCAGTCATTGGGACTCATTTCCAAAAAAATATAGCTTAATGCCACATTGGGGGGGATTGGTAGGGTGGGTATTCTGGAAGGATGAGATCAAATGGACCAAAGGATCTTCTTCATCCAAACCGATCTTGTGAATAATCTTCTGGACTGTTACCGTATCTTATCACTAAAAGAAAAGGCAACTGATTTTCAAAACTGCAATTGTTTTGTGTTCCTGCTTAAAGTTTGACCTTTTCCTGTGTAATTTCAGGATTGACAGCTGTCGGGGGTCTGGCCCTGATGGGAGGAGATTACTTGCCTTCATCTCTTCCTCAGACACTTGCCCTTCTGGCTGCATTTATATCATCCGTTAACATAGCAGGTCAGTCATGCAGTAGTCGTATTATTGCAACTGCTTGCACTCGTCCAGCAACCTTTGACGTAAGAGAAAACCTCCAAACATTTCACAGAGATGGAGTGGGGGGACTGCTTATTACTTGTTGAAGTGATTGCTGTCGACCTTGCTTCCCTGTTGATTGTCTTCGCAGTGAAGTAAATCAGGTGTTAATATCTAATTGGTTGCAGGGGGCTTCCTCATTACCCAAAGGATGCTGGACATGTTTAAACGTCCCACTGATCCACCCGAGTACAACTATTTGTACATGCTGCCGGGTGCAGTGTTTGTCGGTGGTTACGGTGCAGCGTTGGCTGGTGGATACACGCTGGAACAGGTGGGATCTCTTTCCTCTTTTTCTCTTTCCGTTTCACTCTTCGCCTACGAGCATACAGTCACTGCACTCCCGCCGAAACTTTGTGAAGGGCTTCGAGACGTTCTTGAACTTGATGGCGCTGTGTCAAATGCAGGGTTCGTTCACTCGTTCGTTCGTTCATTCATTCCACTTGTGCTCTTGCAGATGATGTACCTGGGCTCAGGCCTGTGCTGTGTTGGAGCGCTGGCTGGACTTTCTGCTCAGAAATCCTCCCGATTGGGAAATGCGCTGGGCATGATCGGTGTAGCTAGTGGTCTGGTTGCCACATTGGGGGGGATCAAACCCTCGCCCGAGCTCCTAGCTCAGATGTGCGGAGCAATGGCAATGGGGGGAACAATCGGTAAGTAAAAAGTACCTTTCAAGCACCGTTGAAATGAAATATTGTATCACCATCAACAAATACCTCTATGGCAGGACAGGATACTCAGAAGATTTCAGGCATAAATGATAAATATACTATAGGGGTGGAGGGTGATACTCTTATCATTTGTAACCCCCACCCCCCCACCAAATAAAACAATCACTGGACTTGACAGCGATTACCTACAAGATGCTTGCAACCTTTCAATGTGATGGGCACTATATCAAATGCAAAGGGATTATTTCCTTACAGACTGTTGTGTTACTTTCCAATCAGAAATACCTTGATCAACTGACTTTGAGGACATTCATTTTACTGATTAGCTGAGGATCCAATCTTCTTACTCCCCAAAGACCTTAACTGGCATTTTCTAAGGTTATCCTTTGGCTTAGAATTGCACACCTCAGTCTTGCCGGTAGATGATGCTGTTAGTCGTGCCATTATACAAACCCTGAGCGAGTAGGATGATTTATTTTTCATTGTTTAACAGTCTGTTGCCAAGAGTGATGCACACTACAAAGAAATGCTTTGCATTATTTATGTGTTGCTCAGTCAGCTTGTATGTAAAGCTTCTGACTTTTGCGCTGTTGGGAATAGTGGATATTGACAGCAAAACTCTGTGATTTATTGCAGTAGTTCTTTCCCCAACGCATTCTTATACACTATTCACAATACTGGTATTTTTAACTGTATGTTAGCAAAGTAATTTAGACAATGGTTAATCAATATTATTAGAAACTTGTCAGTAATCTCTTTTTATTCAGTTGGCAGCTTGGCATATTTGATAGCACTCTTGCCTCTTAGTCAGAAGGTTGTTAGTTCAAGCCCCCATGGCACAACTTTCAACTAATATACTCTGTTCAGTGCTGGGGCCATTCAGCATTATCGGAGGTGCTGCCCTTCGGATGAGACATCACACAGAGGTCCTGTCTTCCTGTTCAGGTAGACGTTACAGATCCTATGGGACAATTTGAAACGAGAAGTGAATTTCTCCCAGTGTCAACGCCAACAATCTCCCAAATAAAATTGGTCACTCACTCCATAGCAGTTTGTGGAACATGACTGTGCGTAAAACTAGCTGCCGCATTTCACCCACAAAAATACAATCACAACACTTTACAGTATATCCTGTGAAGCATTTTGAGATGTCTTGATGACATTATAAGATTCTGTATCAAATGCATGGATCGGTATTGTTTTTTATTTGTACACCAGCAAAACCTTCCGTGCATGACTGATTAAATTGCAGTAATCCTCCCTGCTTCTGTTTTACAATCGGTTCGGATACGATGCCCAGTGCTGCTGGAAGACTGATCCAAGCGTCCCATGACATCACACGAGGACTCCCTTTATTTTTGAGCGAGGGAATTACAATCCCCAAAAAACACATGTGAAACCACATTCGCAAAATCCCGACCAGACCAGAATTGTTGATGTAACTACTTTAGAAGGCATATGTCTTTTTGGCCATTGGTACTTTTGATTCCTATAATTTCCCATCACGTTTCTCAGGCTGCGACACCACTGGTTCAATCCGCCAATCAAAGATCTCCTTTTCCCTTCTCAGTTTTGGCAACTTTTTTTTTTGCATTATTGCCTTCCTCCCCTTCCCAACGCCCTCCCCACCACCCCCCCACCAGCCTTTATTGTTTCCATCTTAATTCTCTGCTCCCATTGCAGACAACATATGTCCACAATAAAGAAAATTGAAGCTTTGCACGCTATAAAAAAAGTTAACAGTGTAAGATCATTATATAAATGAGAGGCATGCACCTTTATACCCAACCAGTAGAGCTGATTTGTGGCTACTTCTTACAGTAAATCTAAGGCAGAATAAAGCATTACTTCTTGATATATACAAGTAAGGTAAACTTTTAAAAGCTACATTCACCTACTTGTAGATTTTCGATTAAAGTCCTTTAAATACACCATAAATTCAGGAGAATAACGTTAGTTACACAGAGAATAATGTGAGAAGAGATGAATATTAACATTGTTAATTCAGTACTCTGGCTGGAGAAACATTTACTTAAGTGCAGATTCATTACTTTCTTCACTTCTTCGAGACTCTCCAGTTTTTCTTTAATCAGAGTGATTATTTAACAACATGTCTTATTTGAAAGTAAGCTGTTCCCAGAAGAGGCTATTATTTATAAAAATAACCAGCTATTATTTACTGACAGTAGCATAATTATTTTGAAAATGTTCCACCTCGTTGCCCAGATCTCAATGATTTGCCAAGGTGCACTGCGCTATGGAATACTTTCAGATGAGTTCTGTTATCAGACGCTTTATATACTGTGACAGAAAAATACAGCACAGGCTTGTGAGCATTTAGATGCCACGCCCTCGGAATTTGGGGAAAATACAGTACTGAAAATGTCACTTTGTATATCGATGTTAGGAAATGTATTCTCGATGTTTTTGTTCACTTTTTGCAGGGCAACAATTTATTTCTCTGTAGTGCCCAAGCTTCCAGTTGTACACTCAGAAATTCAGTGCAGCTGGCAGCAACTTTAGTGCAATCCAGACGGTTACATTAAAATAGGCTCGCGCAAGGTCAACAGAGCTATGTTTCAAAAGCTCTTCACATATGACTCCCATTAATGACTTGCACTTGAACAGATTTTGAAATCGGCATTGAAAGGATATTTGGAGAGATTTGGGTTTTTCTGACCATGTCTGTAGGTAGAGAGGACACACCTAGCAAAGCAAACGCCCAAACTGCACTCACTTGGTCTCGCCAATATTTCAAAACGAGCTGAAAAGATTGCTGGTTATAAGGGAGATCGAGGCTGTCAGTTACAGGCTTAAGTTGGTCAAATAGACCATGTGGACTAGACCACTGTGGTGCCATGAGGATATCTTCTGGCAAAATCCTAGAGATAGAAAAATCCATTGTAAAGTGGTCATTGCAAGGAGGGTACTTCATAAACCAAGTGGCTTTTTCTTGTTCCATACTATATTGTGTAAATACATTTGGTAAATAAGACATAGACTACAACTGCGTAGCAGACAATGTACAAATGTTATGTTAAGCAGAGTGCACACCTCTGCTCAGCACGTGTTAACCCGGTAAGTATGAGTATTGGTAGAATTGAGGATCAGAAATGCTACTCATTGATGATTAAAATGCACATATATTGCTGAGAAGTTAAGTTATTGTTAGTTCAATCCAACTGATCTCTATACTTCCAGTGTTTAGTCAGAGAATCATTTGTGCACAGGTAGAAATCAGGTCCATCTTTGCCAATGGGCGCATAAATTTTGTTGTTAGCTCAGGTATACTTACTTACTAAGCAGAAAGGGCTTAATTGCATTTGCTGTTCATAAGTTGGTTGTGATTTTTGTATCTGAAAAAGTCACCTTTGTTCCTCAGGTCTCACCATTGCTAAACGCATCGAAATCTCTGACCTTCCTCAGCTGGTCGCTGCTTTCCACAGTTTGGTGGGTTTGGCTGCAATGCTCACCTGTGTTGCTGAATACATGATTGAGTATCCGCATCTCGATGTACACCCTGCAGCAAACGTTATTAAGACTGTATCCTATCTGGGCACGTATATCGGTGGTGTGACATTTAGTGGTTCCCTGGTTGCTTACGGAAAGCTGCAAGGTAATTGAATCTTTAACCTTCAAAAGTGATTGATTCCAAAACTCTGAGAAAAATGATCTGGGTCTTTGTATTTTTTTTCTTCATTTCTTTACGTTCCTGTAATTAATATAATTTCCTGTGCATCGATTGCTCTTAATATTAGCTTTTTAATATTTGCAACATGAATTGACATTTTTTTTCATCAAAAGCTTTCCTGCAATTCCAAACATAAAATATTAAGCGTCGAACACGTGTGAAACATTAACGCCATAACTGACTGGTGATTGAAAAATGCAAGCACGTTATTGTGGGTTCAAGCCCGAGACTTTGAGCTCCTCGTTTGATGCTCCAATGCAATGCTGGAGGAGTACTGTGTTGTCAGAGGTACCGGCCTTCTGATGATAATTTAACCTGAGCTCCTGTCTGCCTGTTTATGTGGATGTTAAAGATCCCATGGCACCAGTTGAAAAGAGAAGGGAGTTTCTCCCAGTGTCCTGGCCAACAAGCCCCAAGATAAAATTAGTCATTCACTTCATGGCTATTTGTACACAAATTGCCTGCTGCACTTGCCTACAAAATGCACAGTCACTACACTTTACGGTAAATCCAATGAAGCGCCTTGAGACATTCAGCCGACTTGGTATCACATGCAAGAACTATTATTATTTTGATTAATTTGATGAGAAACAACTGTGGAGTCCTTGCAAATCTTTTTGCCAGCAATTTTTCGAATTGATTTTGCATTTTCGAGGGGGAATGAATACAAGCCGTAGAATATTGAGTATAATAGTGACATTTACAGCGTTTACGGTGCGGTGTGTTGAAATACACAGCTGATTTTCTGTATCTTTGACGAGCTGACCTTTTTTGTTTTTTTAAAAAAAAACAACTGTTTGCTGATGGAGGTGACATTTTTTCACTGACCTTATCATTGGGACAGCAGTTGTTTCGTTGAAGAGATTTTCAGATTGGAGATCAAAAGAAATTGAAAAGCTTTCATGTTGCTTCTTTGGCTGGGCTGAATTTGATTGTTTTTTAAAACAGAAATCTATCCGTTGTAGTTATATTTCAAAAAAAGGCAGCCATTTACCTTCCAACTGGCCCTTCCACCCACCCACGCACACAAACATCCACTCTTGAACAGGAATTGTTGCCCAATAGATCAAATAAAATCGGTCACTCACTCCAGGGCTGTTTGTGAGACATTGCTCTAAGCAAATTGGCTGCCGTGTTTGCTCACAAAATGCCCAGTCAATTATCTTTTAGATATCCTGTACTTTGTGGTGTCCTCCCCACCTGATAGGCGCTATAGCAAATTTAAGAACTATTATTACCTAATTAGTGCATGTCGGCAAGACCCTGATACAATATTTTGCTGTTTCTCTTTGCCAATGAAGTAGTGGAGGAGTCTAAGTGGGGGAGGATTGAAATGGTTTAAGTAAGGAACAAGATGTTGATTTTGTTTTTCTTCAAAACTGGAAGGAACTCTCTTAAATGTTGAATTCCTGCCTTTGCTGACACTCTCATCATTGCCTCTAGGTTTGCTGAGCTCCTCTGCTCTACTTCTGCCCGGCCGTCATTACCTTAACGCAGGACTCCTAGCTGCCTCGGTGGGAGGAATGGTGCCCTTTATGCTTGATCCAAGTTACACCACGGGAATGAGTTGCCTGCTAAGTGTCTCGGCCCTGTCTACAATCATGGTACGAGGGATGTAATCTCTTGGTATCTATTTGCTCGTTGATCTCGTGAAATGCTACGAGGCTTGCCCTTTGCATCAGTGTTAAAGTACTCGTTTCACAGCTGCCTTTACTCAAGGCTAATGTAATGTGAAAGGTGCAATGCTATCATATACAGATGATATTTGATGCTTTCACATTTTTTGCATTTCCACAGTCAGATCATTTTGCAGCGAGGGATCCAGATTGTTTCGTCCGATGAGTGTTATTTTTTATTTGTTAGACGAATGATTCCTTTGAAAGATCACGCAGGAGCATTCAAATATTTCACAATAATTTGAATTACAGTGATGTTTGCACAGAGTATGAAAATATCACTTGAGGGAACAGTTCAGAAGGTTACAATTTTGTGCCAACATTATTCACGGTCTGCTGGACTCACGGAATCATCCACATTGTTCACTCAGTCCATCATGTTGTTTCTAATCCCTCCAGTTGAGCTTACTGCTTGTCCACAAAATATACAGTCAATTCAATTTACAGTATATTCTGTGAAGCGCTTTGACATGTCTCGAAGACGTGATAAGGTGCTATATCAAATGGAAGGATTATTACTCTAATTCAAATTCCCTGCAAATCCTTCTCTATATCCTTTATATTGGTTTTACATAAATGCAGCCCATGCATTCTACTACAACCTCCCTAAAGCAGTTGATGACAGTTTTAAGCACCGGGCTTCATTTGACGTTCCAATCCATTTGCTGGCGATGAAATTTAATGCTCTCATTCTCTTGTGTTGGTTGCTTATTGGGGCAGCTTATTTTCCTGTGTGACTGGGAGAGGAGAGATGTTCTGGGGGGTTTTCTGGGTAAAACAGACTATTTAAGAACAACAAATTAAACTTATGGCTGTTTGTATGACGTTGATGGGTACAAATTAACTGCTGCATTCACCTACAAAATACACTGCTGTCACTACACTTTACAGTATGTCCTGTGAAGCGCTTTGAGACACTCTCCTGACATGAAAAGCGCTAGATCAAATGTAAGGATTATTATCTATTGCATTTACTCATCAAGGAATGTTAGTAGAAAAATGAACACAAAACCTGACGACTTTCCTCTTCGACCATATTCTCTCGATTCGGTGTCAAAGTACGCCATTGTTAAGTGATCCAAGACGCTACCCTACCATGAATGGAGATTATGTAAATGCAAGCTTTTGACTTACATTTTGTGATGTTGTCCCTGTCTCGTCTTGCGTCTCAGGGTGTGACTCTCACCTCAGCTATCGGGGGTGCTGACATGCCTGTTGTGATCACCGTTTTAAACAGTTATTCTGGTTGGGCCTTGTGCGCAGAAGGCTTTCTGCTTGACAACAACTTAATGACGATCGTCGGTGCATTGATCGGGTCTTCAGGTGCTATCCTCTCCTACATCATGTGTGTGGTAAGATTTTCTCTTCAAACTCTTTCAAGCATTGGTCCAGCAGCACATGCATTCTACTACAACCTCCCTATAGCAGTTGATGACAGTTTTAAGCACCGGGATTCATTGACGTTCCAATCCATTTGCTAGCGATGAAATTTAATGCTCTCATTCTCTTGTGTTGGTTGCTTGTTGGGGCAGCTTATTTTCCTGTGTGACTGGGTAAAACAGACTATTTAAGAACAACAAATCTTAATCTTGTATTGAGCAAACAGGAGGAACATAAACTATAGCAGAGAACAATTAAGCAAAAGATTGCTTTGAGACACTGCAGCTCGGTTAAGCAAATAAGGCGATTACATGAAGATCTTGTTTGTACGCTAGGTAGGGAGCAAGGGAGGGCGGGTGGGTGTTCTGGAAGGATAAGATCGTATGGATTGAAGAGGCTTGTCTGTCCAAACCAATCTCGTGATAATCTTTCAATATGTTGATTATTTCAATCAGTGTGACCTTTCCTTATTGGTTCCAGGCTATGAACCGTTCGTTACCCAATGTGATCTTGGGTGGATATGGAACATCATCGACCGGCACAGGCAAACCTATGGAAATTGTTGGAACTCACACCGAAGTCAATGTGGATCAGGCCATTGAACAGATTAAAGAAGCCAACTCAATCATCGTTACTCCTGGTAAATATTTCTGGAACCAGATTTCTGTAGCTGATAAAACCATTTTTCAACACAAGAAAAGCAGCAGCAGAGGCTGAATTCAGAAGCAAACATACTTGATGCTTAATATCCTGTCCTACAGGGTGGGGATTATGTGCTGCAAAAGCTCAGTATCCAATTGCTGACATGGTGAAGATGCTTAGCGAAATGGGCAAGAATATCAGGTGAGCATTTAACATTCTGCTGTGTTATAGCTTCAGGGGTGTGAGGAGACTATTTAGTTTTTGTATTGCTCAGCCAAGTGTCTGACACAGCTGGAAACCCATCACCGTTGCTTAAGAGTATCCAAACCAACCCGAGAATTTCGTGCATCACACCCACATATGGAAATTCCAGTGATTAGTCATTGGAATGGAATGCGCACTCTCTCCCTGGAGGGATGCATCTTGCTTACCTAATTCTGGAAAGTACTAGACGCGGATTGGCAAGAGCCAAGGCTTTGGACTGTTTTTATATTGGCAGAAACTGATTTACCATGGGCAGGGAAGCAAAAGGGGAAACCAAACTTGAGAGGTCTCGGAAGCTCCTTGAGATGTTGTGATGCGATAAAATGATTTTGATGACTGTTTTCCAAGCAATACTCCTGGTAAATTGTTGTGGTTTCTTAATTTCAGGGTTGTTTTCTGTAAATTCTTTCAATTGTTTCTGATAGATTTGGTATCCATCCTGTTGCTGGCCGAATGCCTGGTCAACTGAATGTGCTTTTAGCTGAGGCTGGTGTACCTTATGACATTGTTTTAGAAATGGATGAGATAAATGAAGACTTCCCAGGTAAGAACAGTGCTGAAGCTAGGCTGTGCGTTCAAATACCTGATCGCAGGTCTGAGACAGCAGCTTTGCTTTTTTAAAAACGCTGCAAGAGTAAATCTCTTCATCCGGGTTTGTGTCAGTCATTGTTTAGTTTTCACATGTGTCCACACCCGATGTACACTTTCAGAACAAAAACAATCAAGTGCGCCTATTCCCAAAGTTCAGTTCGAAACTTGATGGTTGATAATGTCATTTTGTATTGTATTACTGTTCAGCACCTCGGAATTTCCTCCCAACATGAACAACAACAATAAAATTACATTTGTATAGTGTCTTTCACGTCGGGAGGAAGTCTCAAGGCTCCGTGCAAATGTAATTTTGTATTATATTCATTGCAGCATAAAGTAGAAATAATCCCAATAATTAAAATTTTGCGTGGAAACAGTTAACTAGGCAGGGCCGTGCATATGAAAGGCATCGGGAGGCTGAAAGTGAATGCTAAAATACCACTTACATTTAAAAATTACAGACACCGTCACATGGGCTTAGATAACAAGTAACATTTGCTTGAATAGTTTATTTGTTCATATGGCAACGGGCACTGAAAAATAATAAAAACCCCTCACGGTCCCAGATCTAAAGAGAAGCATATGTTCAAGATTGATTGCAAAGGTTTTTTTTTAAAGTTTCTCTCCAATGTTTCGAGCGTAGAAAAGGTGATCAAAAGACGTGGCACAAAGAGTAAAGAAATGGGCAGCCCCATTCCTGGTACGATGGCACGAGCTGGCGGCTTTTTCCTCGACATGCCACACGGAGGGTTTCATGCGCCAACCAAGAATAAGGGGAGGTGTTGAGTTGAGGTGAACTGCTCCCCTAATGGGGAGGTGGGGAGGGACTTCCTTCAGTCTACAGCGCCTTTTGAGTGGCTTTGGCAGAACGATTGCCTGCCTGACCTCTCGGTTGGGGAATTGTGTGACGACGAGCCATGGTGAAGCTGGGGGAATACAAAGCCCACAAAACACACAGAGCAGCAAATCTTTTTGATTGTATTAGTATAAAGTTACCACCATATAATGTCTAAACCCCATGTTAGCAATATGTAAACACAAAGCTGTCTCAGACTAGCACTACATGTGTAAGTACTGTACTATTTAACCTGAAATTGACCTACGCCTTGTGATGCACGCAACCCAGGGAAAACCTGTGACTCTAGTACCATTGTTCAGATAAGTTTAACCTTTAATAAATGCGGATATTTTACAGCTTAGGGACAGGAGGCAGAATTTGTGACTGCAATGATATTTAACAAAAAGAATGTAATTTAAGTTTTTCCTCCTTTAATTGGTCTGGCAACACAAACAAGAAATCGGATTCACCCCACAAATTAACGTAACGTGAGGCATGGCTCTCTAGTCGATCTAATAGGGAGTTTAGAAGGAACTTCTTCACGCAGAGGGTGGTGAGAATGCGAAACTCATTCCCAGAAGCTGTGGTTGAAAATCAGTTGAAGAAGAAACTAGATGCATACATGAGGGAGAAGGGTCAAGAGGGGGTGGGGGGAGTTTGTGCAGAATATAAACACCTGCATGGACTAGATGGTCTAAATGGCTTTTTCCATGCCATATCTTTGTGTAATTCAATGTAATTCGACATCCTTGTGGAAAATGTGCATCTAGGTTGTTCAGGTCATCTCCCCCCACTCTGCTGTATATGAGGCACATTCTGAGATCTGCCCTTGGGTCTTTTTCTCCTGTTATCAGTAGTTCTCCATTGCATTATCTCTCTCCCTCAGGACCCAGAAAAAATAAAATTGTCGTTTGCCACCAAACACTATAAATTCTCCCTTACCGCCTTTGGACTCAGAGTGGGTGGATTGGGGGAAGAGGAAAGATATTCCTAAGTTTCACAAGGAAGGCTCTAGTTACGTTAAATAATTGACATTCCTTGCTTGGAAACCTCAAGTTGGAAAATAAAAGGCACTGTACAGCAGTGCGACTGATTTAGGGTCTACGTCTGATTGAATAACAATGGCTTAGCTCAAAGTGAGTGAGACTACAGATGGTCTGCATTGTAATATTTCACACAATAGTGAAACTTTACATGAGTTTTGGCAGCATTTTGTACTTTTTTTATAAAAAACACAGATGGGCAAAAAGTAATAAAAAGACACTGCCATCTCGTATTATTGTGGTTTAGATTTATTTTTCTGTAGACCTGTATTGTCATTCAAGAGAGTAGGAATAACCTCAAGCTTGTGTCTATGTGCCCTTAGAGACAGACTTGGTCCTGGTTATTGGAGCAAATGACACGGTGAACTCAGCAGCACAGGAAGATCCAAACTCAATCATTGCTGGCATGCCTGTGCTGGAGGTCTGGAAGGCGAAACAGGTGAGCAAAGGTGTTCGGTGGATGAAATAATGCAGAAATACTGGTCTAAACCCCATCTTTCGATCCAAATCCAATCTCCTGGCAAATGCCAAAACGTTATCATTATCAATCAATGTTACAAATTACTTTTATGAAAGTTCGAAGGGCGCTTGTGGAAATTTAGCAATGTTCGTGCTTTTTGTGAAAAAAAATTATGTTTGGAAAGGAAACAAAGCGATGCAGTGAAACTAAAAATACCTTTCATTTAAATCCTGAATTAGATCACATCATAACAGTACCCAAAGCATTGTAGCTTCATGTTCACCTACAAAATACAGTCACTACACTTGACAGTAAAGTTTACAGTAAAGTGGGTGGTGGGGAGGCATTTGAGTGCAGATCAGATTGCATTAGGAAGAAGACCTAGTCACTGCTGTGCGCAATTGGCTGCCGCGTTTCACCCACAAAACACACAGTCATTACACTTTACAGTGTGTCCTGGGAAGCGCTTTGATACGTCTCGACCCGATAAGGAGCTATATCAAATGCAAGGATTATTATTATTACTCAATCTTCAAGCATTGACTGAACATCACTAAACTCAGCTCATCATCTTATTTCTGACTCTTCATAGTTTTTCACCATTCGGCCAGCAGCAGACATTGCCCTCTCCCTCTGTTTTCTCGTACTTTAGCATGTCCATATCTGGTTCACTGTATCTTATTGACTGAACCAAACCATTCCAAGTCTTCTCATGTGGAAGATCTGTGCCAGCAGGAAATTGCTCTCTTCTTCAGAAGCATCCAAGTTTTTCAGAAAGATTCGGTCGACTGCGTTTGATGAATAGCTAAAAAAATTCCACAGCAATCACTCACTTCTATCCATCCGAGAGGATTAAAACTATTATTGATGATTATTGGCTAAAATTTTGATTGTCGCTGCAATCCTATTGCTTGGCACACTACCTGTTGTCAGTTTAATGTTAAGAATCCTGTTTAGTTTGTAAAAATATAGACATAAAAGTTCGATTTTAGATTCAGCTGCCACACAGGTGACGCAGTGGAGTTAAAAATAGTGCAAACTGATCTTTCCTTCAGATAAAACAAATAGGTTAGCCGTCCTATTCCTGAGCATGATCTTGATCCAAAGCAGAACATTTCTTGGCAAACCATAAATGTCACTATCAGGAATCGTTTGAACAAAGAATGTTTACAATGGCCAAGGTATGTTCTTGGGGAATTTTGTGCNTTTTTTTATTAATTGTGAAAAGACCTCAGTAGGGATTGTTGCAAGGCCAGCTCAATCAATATGATTCTTAAAGTAGATTATGACTGATTTTTTTTTACAAAAATACTCTTTTAGTGACTGTTAGTGCTCACTTTGACACCCACGTGTCACTGGCAAACACTCTGAGCTTGGGGGCAGGGAGAAGGAATAAAGCTGCCTATGCTTTGCTCCTTCCATCAGAAGAGCCCTTCCTACTGCTTCAGTATGTATTTTCCATTTCCTTAATCCATCATGCTGAAGGCTTCTCTGAGCAAAACTGCCAATTTATTGTTGACATGGAATTTTAAATCTCAACTTGAATGTATTTTGATCCACGTATACAGTTTGTTGGCAAACTATAAATGCCTTTATTACAGTTAAACTGTTTGTAACTTTTTCATGAAGCTTGGGGATGAGTTTCTTTGAAATGTTATATCCATTATACAAAGATAGGAATGTTTGACACAAGAAAAAGCTGCGGAGTCCATCAAGGCTATCTCCAGTGCATCGTGGATTCTACCCAACTCGGTTAATCTCTTCAAGGAAGGTTGTGCAAACTTTCTCCCTGTTTTGATGGCAATTGAGCAAAACTTCAGTCTGGCATTTCCTTGGTGCCACAAGGAGTAAACCTACCCCAAAGTGGAATTTTCTCGCCAGATAGATTATTAAAGTCAATATCTTTAATGGCAAGATGTTTCTGTAGACACAGCTGAGGCCTGGGACTCACAGGAAAAGTAATGATAATGATAATAATCCTTGCATTTGATATGACGCCTTATCACGTCTTCGAGACGTCTCAAAGAGCTTCGCAGAATATACTGTAAAGTGAATTGACTGTGTATTTTGTGGGGATCTGGTATCGTTTAGCACTTGGAATACAGAGTGTTTCTTGTTAAACATATTGATAACTACTGTATTTCTGCTGTTAGGTTATTGTGATGAAGCGAACCCTGGGAGTAGGCTACGCTGCGGTTGACAATCCAATTTTCTACAAACCCAACACTTCGATGTTGCTTGGTGATGCAAAAAAGACATGTGATGCTCTCCAGGGCAAGATCAAGGGAGCAATTTTATAACAAATAAAGTCATGGACGGAAACAAATGCAATGCAACAATAAACTGTCTATTCTGTTTCAGAGGTTTTGTGTGTTCAAGATAACCCAAACAAGTAATTCCAACTGAAAAATAGTTGAGTGCAATTTTAAATTCCATTTATCTTCGATCATTCAGACAATGCAAAATACTCTTTGTACCATATTCGCTCTGAGATCCAAGCTAATTCATAAGATTTACGGTATCACGTGTGGCAACATAAACCGTGGAATACAGATTTGAGCTTTTCTTTAAAATCAATTAAAATTAAGCTAAATTAAATTATGGAAGGGTGGGCGGACTTCAATTCATAAAGGTAAGTGAAATATTGTTCCCATTTAGTTACTTACTGACCTCAGTGATATTGCTTTATATTGAAGTACTTCTTAGATCTATCTTTGTATTGCAAAACACTGGGTAAATTTGTAGAACAGGCTCAGTGGGCTGAACAGCCACCTCCTACCCTTTTTTTCCCATATTGCTAACTGTTAATAGCAGCAGAATACTCAAATCAAGAAACTGTACAGGAAAATTTAATTTGTGGCGATCCAGCTATGCAACAATGCAGCAAAAATACATTTCCTAAATTCCAAATGCCCATCAATGCCATTGCACCGCTGAGCTCAGACAGAGAATAAACTTGTGCGTGATTCACTTCTGACACTGTTGTGGATAATTTCCTTATTTTTTCTGTTGAAATTACTAACCCCAAAGCTGACCCGGTATCAATAACCTTCTTTACAACGTGCCTTTTTCACGTTGCGAAACCACAAGACGTCTCCTTTAATGGCCTTTCACAAGGCNAAAAAACAGCTAAATTGGCCTGTAGCTCCATTTTCAATTTTGATTTTAAATAAATGGCTGTTTCTGGGGGTAGAAATGCAAGCAGGAACCTAACCAAATTGAACGTTAGCACCTTTCTTATTCACAGCTCTTTGGGACCTAGCGATTTAATTTGCTTGATTTTAGTTCTCACCACAGAGAATCCTAATCTTAAGGCAGGAGGAATTGCAATGAGGTTAAACAAGATGCAGATGCGAAAAAGCACGAAGAGCAGGGAGAACACAATTACATTTTGGTGGGACCAACGAGTGGGTCCCTTTGTCCGTGACTAATGAACATTACAGCAATATTGTGGTGGCTTCCATCAGCAAGTTCCTTCAACACAACACGCTCAGTGCAGTGAAAAGACATCACGATTCCGTGTACTTCAAGCTGCATAAACAATGCACAATGTGTGATTTAACCTTATCAAAAATTTTATAACTATGCCCACACCAAGGTCAGTAAATTTACCACTGATCAGAGAATCATTCCTCCTCCAGTTTCCTTCGGGGCCAAAGTAAACCATTTCTTGACACGTATTTTGCTTTATCATAGGACTGCCTTCAGCATTAATTAAACTAACCACGCAGCCCGTGCACGAACATCTAATGGATCCAAATTAAACATTTTTTTTAATATATACTTTATTGCGTGTCTGATTGCATTGACGCTTGACTCACTGAAACCCCAAAGCCAATGCCAGATGAAAAACTGTTGCTGTTTTTTAATCATTGCCTTTTGCATAGATTTAAAGCGATGTGGGAAGAAAATCCTTCAAGGCCCGATGGCCCTGGTCCAAGTTGGCAATAGTTGTCCAGTAAGACTCCAATTCCACAAAGTATCATCAAGCCTCAGTGGCAACCATCCAACCCACATACCTTCAAAATACAAGGTTCCAGGGTTGAGTATGTACTGGCCCTGGATACCATAATCCTGAGAGATCCTAAGTAGACCATTCTTAGCATAATAAACTCCCCCAAAAAGTTCTTCACTGTATCTGCTCCATCACTGTTCTCAAATCAGTTTCCTCCCTCACAGCCTCCATTGGTTCCTCTGTTTAATGTGGGTCCATATTCTATTGATATCTGATTCGTCCTTTTGAGCATTTTGGTGCATGTCATTGCAGTCGTGTAATCAGCAATGATCTCTGACCTCCTCACTCCATTTCTTTAACACCTCTCCTCCCTGGTCTCCAGTTCCACCATCCACAAGCCCCAGCTCGTTCAAAACTCTGGCACCCGCATCCTCATCTCCACCAAACTCCACAAACCCAGTCTTCCCCAGATCTTGCCAAGCTCCAATGTCTTCCAACAGATCCATTTCAAGGCCCTAACCACCACTTATAGATCCCTTCACACCCCCGCACCTTCCTAACTCTGTGTTCTTCTAACTCACTCGCCTCCACTCCGCTAGACATCTCCCATCCCATAATTAGTGTCCAAGCCTTCTGCAACTCCCCCTCCCCCAAAAAACTTGGATCTCTCTTCCTCTCAGTCTTGAACCCTCTCGGTATTTAAATCCCGTCTATAAAGCTGCCTATTCAGCCACGCTTCTGGTCACCTCCCCATCCTCGTTTTGTATCCGAATCTGTCCATTAAGAGCTCTGAGACGTTATCCTATGTGAAGAATGTTATATACTCTGTATGCGTGTTGCTATTTCAGTTAAGGAATTTAAGATTGAGCCAAGGTTCAAGGCAAGCATTTTGAATGTTTCTGGAGCGATTGGTGTCTTGATATTCCAACACGCTAACCCTAACTGGTGGAACGTTCACAGCAGAAGCCAATTATAAACTAAAAGGTTCACAGTTCTGTGTTCGGTGCCCAGAACTGTTTGTGCTCACTGTGTAATTCATTTACATTGCATGTCTTTGTTATTCAGTTATGGTTCATGATCATGGTACCCTGCAGGAATACTGCTTTCTTTGAAATGAAAAATGGAACAATGCGCCTGGAACAATGTCTTATTCTCAGCCAAGTGCCAATCCCACAATGTGTCTGAATGCTAAAGAGGTTGTGGAAGCTTGGCTCATGAGTGATTCATCAATTTGTATTCCAATTTGCAAGGATTATTAAGTTCAGTTATCGTTCTGCTCTGCGCTTAAAACCATTGAGACCCATTGTTGCAGCCTGACTCAGGTAGGAACTTTGACAAACAGGTAACTGGGCTAGAACTGAGAACCAACAGCCGTGGTCCAGTACGCTCTACACCAGTTCTCTGCTTCAACTAAAAAATACTAAGAGACTCTTTATATCCCCCACTATTTACATGGAAGGATGATGGTTTGACAATTACGTTCGTGGGTAGGTAAATAGTTGAAGGTTACAATGATGTGGTTGATAACAGCCATTATGAGCTTCTGACAATTGTTGAACATTAACTTTACAAAGTAGTGGATTGAAGAAAAGTAGTAAAGCGTCTCACGTGCTTGCTATACATGTTGTCTCCATGGAAGTTAAGTTTTGTTCTTCCATTATTCTCCAACATACATTTCTTGTAAACCGTGGGACAGTCCTCTTGAAAAAAGATTCTAACTGTAGCCCACATTGTTTTGCCCTCTCTCTGCTCAGCTTGGTAGATGTCACATGGATTGCCTTGGATTCCTGTTTTTTAACCACAGTTGCTGGCAGATGGTTGCTCACCATGACCGTTGTGGTATTTTTCTCTGTAGTTTCACAGAGCTCCGATGGGAGCAGGGATTCTGCCCACTCAGCTCGTGTTAACTCTTCAAGTCAAAGTCCTACAAAGTAAAGTTTTACTAGCTAGACAAGCAGAGGAAAGCTTGCAAGCCAGTGCTCTCAATAGCAAGCTATGTAGTTGTAGCCAGTGAAACTCCAGCAGTTACCTCAACTCACTCTGGGATTCCCCAAGCCTTGGCAACAGCGCTTAATACTCTCCAGAATCAGGTAAGCTGAGTGCACCCTCTTTGGAGACAGTTCGGATTCCATTCTGGACACAGGGAAATTTCCATGTGTAGGCGGCATAAATACTGTATGTGGAATTCTCGGTCTGGTTTGGATACTCTTACGCGGGGTGATCGATTTCAACATGAGACACCAGCTGACCAGAAGAAAATTAGTTTAAGATTCAGTTTATAAAAATATAATGGGAATAAAGAGACAATAGGTAGGCATATTTAATTGAAAAAAAATACAATCAACAGTATTCTTTAAAGAAAGCCTCAATGCAGCTATCACAAAAATAAATGAATTCTAATTTAACCCTTGGTTTGCAGAACCTTGGAATAGAATAAGAAAAATGTCAATACGGTAAAACTTGCATAAGTCTGATCTGTATACATCGTATAATCGCCTAAGTCGTACATCTGCCCAAGTCCTGTTCAAAAGTTTATATTCTACACAAGTTTGACATAACTCATACTTTGCATAAGTCATATTAAATGTGTGGTCCCAACTAATAAGACTTATGTGAGGTTCACTGTACTCATATTGATGCAGAATTATGCATCTTTTCAGTTAATGTAATAAGCCCAAAAATGGGCATAATTTACACTAACCAGTCTCCATGTGAAACATACAGTGTGTTTGCAGTACCAGCCTACTGACTTAAAAGAATCTTCAATGAACCAGAACATGAAAGTCATGAACTGAACAAAAGGTCAGTCTGTACAAATAACAAGTGATTTTCCACAACCAGCAGCTCAACTCAGTTTGCCTGATGCACGTTTCGCCTTCCTGATTAATCTGTACATGAATGAATAGAAGAATAGCAGGTTGTCATATTTCCCATCGTAGCTCTCCTTTAAAAGCAGAGTGTGGTAGTCAACTAGGAAATAGTAAATCGCCTCAATTGTAGAGAGGTAGGTATCTGGCTTCCCTTTCTGATGACGCCAAAAACAAGTCTTTTGCGTTCTTAGCTCAACGTGAAGCAATTCTGCAGAAAGAGCACAGAAAAAAACTGTTATCATTTTCCTGTCTGTCTGACCGGATTTTCTCACGGGTGGACAGGAATAAAAGAAACCTCTTAAAATGATCAAGTGTCAAAATAAATAACATGATCCCCAAGACAGCCTCCGCTGTGACATGTTACCTTGGAGACGCTCATCTGTGATGATTTTATTAGTTTGGTTCCAGGTGCTATCGATAAATATCACACGTTTTAACAGGGCTGGTTTTGTCTTCTCATTTGCTGGCTCCTCCACACTTAAACCAAGTTTGTCTTCACAGTCGTACTTTGGCTGTTTAACTGATGGTTCCTCCAGCACACTGCTCCCACTGTCACTGGGCGCATTCTTCCCGAGCTTTGCCAAAACGGATTTCTCGTCTGCAATGTTTGATAAGTGCTTTGGAAGGTCCTCAAGACAAACTGAGGTCGGTCCAGGGAACATCACCACGACCTGAACAAGATTGCAAAGTACCGGAAATGTTCGATCAAAAGGACACATAAAATAACAACAACAACAAAATTACATTTGTATAGCTCCTTTCATGTCGGGAGGCGTCCTAATAAAAATTGGATCCTTGTCCACCCTATTCAGCTCCAATTTACCTACAAACACAGACACTACACTTCATTTGAAGTAAATCCTGTAAAGTGCTTCAGGAACGTCCTCCTGACGTGAAAGGAATTATATCAAATATCAATATAAAGTCAAAAGAATTGCTGCAGCCAGCCCAGTTCTTCCTCATAGACACTAATAATGAAAGGATATTTTATTAACAATAATAATCCTTGCTTTTGATACAGTGCCTTTCATGCCAGATGGATGTCTCAAACCAGATTTACTGTAAGGGGTATACTTAGCAGGCGAATGCTTTGGATTAATTTTTCTAACTTACTTCATGTTTTTCATTCCCGTACTCTGGCATGCAAGGGTACGTGTAAATATTAACGTCATCTCGGGCCAACAGCTTTGCATGCACGGCGGTACTCTTCCCATCAGTCTCATTGGGGTGTTTGATAATATCGATCTTCAGAGGCAGCTGGGAACCGAAAAAAATGGAAGTCGGCATATAAAGTGCAAAGCGAAATGTAATAGAAAATATTGATTTCATACATAATCTGATATTCCGCTTTTCCACCCTTGTATATTTTCTCCAGAAAACGTACCTCTTCTCTTGTACTGGAGTGCGAATACTGGAGGCTGGCTGTCACTGGTTCCAAAAGGGACAACCAATATCCAGTGCGTTAGCCAGGGCCATTATTCATGTGTGCAAGAAGAGACTGTCAGCAGGCTAAATGGGGGTATCAGAGCCAAGCTCTCTCCTCTTCTGACCCAGATAGTCACGTGTCATACTGTGCAACGTGAAACAATCCTGACAGCAAACAATAACTTGGGTTACTAACCTTGACTTGAGGGATCTCATCAGAGCTCACTCCATCTACCAGAAGGAAGCACGAATAACAGTAGAACATCCTTGAACAATGGCATTTTGGACACTTTGATCTCCCGCTTCGCTGGAGCGTTTCCAGTACTGTCTGGGGAGCCAGTTTCAGATTTTCGAAAGCATCGGAGGTTTGCTCTTTCTGTGCTTCGGGCGACGGAACGGACGGGCTTTGCAAATTGCCGCGTTTCCCGGCCTCCGCACCAGCTGCCCCTTCAGCCGGTGCCGTTCGTTTCAAGCCGGCGGACATCCCAGGCGGACGCTTCACCGGCTTTGCCTGTAGGGTTTTCCGAAAGACACGTAAAAATGAGCGAGCACGTCAGTCAAGCCCTTCAGAGTAGGTCTCTCGGAGCGGGAGGGACCGCCGTTATAACAGTAACAGTCCTTGCATTTGACACAGCGCCTTATCCCGTGCGTCGAGAGGTCTCGCCAAGCGCTTCGCGGGAACGCGCAACACAGGACACGTCTGTCGCGAAGCGGCGCGAACGTGTATTGTTTTGTGGGCGAAAGGCGGCGGCAGCAGCCGATGGGAGCGCAGCCGGCGTCCCACAGGGCAGTCGGCATCGTCATCGTCACAATGATGAGCAAAAATTCAAAAGAACCATTTTTTAAAAGGAGTGACTTTTTTTTTAAAGGCCATTTTCCTCTCAGCCCCTCCCCCCCCCCCCACACACACACACACACACAGGGAGGGGTGGGGGGGGGGGGGGGTGCAAGACTTGGTAAAAAGGTACCGAAATAAATCACCATTATTCCTCACCCACACACACACACACACACACACACTCACACAAAAAAAGAGGGCCTTAAGTTCGATGGCAACGCCTCAGTCTACGCTTCTTCTTCCTGCACTGCAGGTGGTGGGGATGGTGGTGGGGTGGGGGGGGGGGGAACCAAAACCCGGGGCGGGTGGGTCGGGGGGAGGGGTTTGAGGGGTTGGGTACCGAGTTACCGGCCGCTCCAGAGGGGAGGGAGAAAACCGCTGCACCGGTTCCGCTCGACGTCACGAAGCGGAAGTGCTCGTTGTTGCCAAGCGACAGGGACGCCAAAGCGACCCACGTGTGTGTCCCCCACACACTCACACACACACACACACCACACTCTCTCCACACACATTGTGACTGTGGGGCTGAAGGTTATTTCGTCTTCAACTGTAAAAATGATCCCAGGGGGAAAATCACGGGTAACTATCTATATATATATATATATATCATTTTTTGTATGTATATATATATACAAAATTATATGTATGTAATGTTTTAATCATAATGATATATATAATATAATATTATAATTCATAATGATATATAATTTTTTGTGCATATATATACACACACAAAATTATATATACGCGTATAATTTTTTGTATGTATACACGTGTGACGCTCTTTGCACACACACACACCTGCATCTCTATGCGTATGTATTTATGTGTTTATTTATTTATATTTACTTTTTTTGTACCAAATTATATTTACGTAAAAGTCTACATATGTCGTAGAGAGACACAGGCGCTCACCCGCGCACTTTTTTTTTTTTTTGGACCCCCCCCCCACCCCCCCAAAAAAATGTTGTTTTGTGTTTGCATTCCTAAGGTGGTTAAGTTTGGCTGCAGGTATCTTATCACGTGGCGGCGGGCACTGGCTCGGTCGATAACGCTCTCGCCTCCCAGTCCGAAGGATGTTGGAGACTATAATAATAATAATACTTGCATTTGACATAGCGCCTTATCACGTCATTGAGACGCCTCCAATAATAATAATAATAATAATAACAATAATAATGTCTCCTCCCTTGCTCAGCATCCAACACCAACCCCATGACGCGCCCTCCAATGGACATCCTATACGTGAACGGTGCTGTCTATAATTGTTGTTTGTTGTTTGTAGAAAATGCAAGAACCACCTACTTCGCACAAAGAGGTCTTAAAGTATCTGAATCTGGTGAGTGGATTTCACTTCTTTCAGTACTGCCGCATTGTAGAAACCCCAGAAATTGTTAATCTTGTATTTATATTTTATTTGAAAAGACGTTTGATGTTACTGGTGCCTGTTGACTATTCCAGAATGTATCCATGAAAAAAAAATGAAATGTTTCCATTTCTCTCCTGCGTTTACTCCTTTCAAATTTCCTTCCTTCACTTCTGGGCCATTTGTGGGCACATTGCTGTGCACAAATTGGCTGCCGTGAATTCGTGAAATACACTCAGTCAAACCACTATGCACTATGAAAGGCATTGAGACATCTCAATAATGTGATAAGGTACAATATCAAATGCAAGGATTATTATTATTATTATTGGTTTGGAGCTATATTTTTCATTGATTGCAGCATGAGGGAGAAGAGAGAATAAAGAGTGCCGCCAAAATATATTACAGGTTTAATTAAAATATTATATTTTTTAATTCAAGTCACACTAAAACACAGGGAGGAATATAAAATCGAACCATTTTACCCTTGATTTTGCGAAAACATGCTCTCATGTGTTTGAGATTTTCAATTACACGTGCTCTCGTGTGTCATTGAAAATATTACGTTTCTTACTTTCTAATTTGTGAAATTCATCTTTGTTGCTTGTTGCAGGAATCCTGGCCACATTTTTACCCTGAAGACTACAAAATTAACTTCCGAGACCACCTTGACGTGTTTTCTTCACCTCAGAGCGTGTTTGCGTATTTTTTGCAGCATGCACCTTTTAGGGTGGAGCTTCTTGTTAATGTGGAAGAAAAACTAAATTCTTTTATAACCATTTTGGAACCATATTTTTCACATATCTTGACCGACGAATCCAGACCATCTAAAATCAAAACACATCTTTTCTATGTACCATCAGAAGGTAAGTGAACATGCTCACTATAGAGTTGTGTTATGAGATAAATTGATTTAATGCTCGCAACTATTTTAATGGACTGCAATCCACAGAGCATCGTAGTCAAATATTGTATGGAGAATTGAAAGCATTTAAAATAAAAACACAAGTAGAGCAAAACTCCTAGTCTAAAAAATAGTAAAAACAATTCAGCAATACAGCATTGATTTTTCCAATGATTTAACTTATTTCAAGCTCATGTGTATCTTTCAATTATTTTTCCAGATTTTCTGAAACAAATCCGAAATTCTGATGCATTGAAAGCGCACAGCAGCAGAAAACCTGCAAAAATGAAGGTTTGAAAATTAGAATAGAAAATTATAGTCTCATTTCATCCCCCCTTACGCCTGATATACTTAATGGATTTGATCACACTTACAACTACTCTACGGAACTATAGGGCAGTCTGTCAAATATTTGGCTGAGATAAACTAGTTGCAGATTAGCAATATTATGAATGAATGAATGAATGAATGAATGAATGAATGAATGAATGAATGAATGAATGAATGAATGAATGAATGAATGAATGTTCCTTGAAATACAACAACAACAACTTGCATTTTATAGTGCACTTCACGTGGGTAGCATCTTGGAGTGAGATAAGTTAAAGGTCAGGTATTTTCAATGTAGTTTCACATTATATGTCAATATGATATCTATATATTAAAGTTAATTTCTAGGACTATATTTGCCACAGAGGTTTAGCGAAGGAATACAGGGGCAATAATTAGACAAACTAGGGCTCTTCAGTCTTGAAAGAAGACGTCTCAAAGGGAACCTTATAGAGGTCCATAGAACTTTAACGAGTTTGACAAAGTAAACCCAGAGACACTAAGATAGTAAAACAAGTGGACGAAGGTATAGCATTGCAGAGGATAATTTCAAGACAGACATCGGGAGGTATTTGTTTACTCAGAGAGTGATTCATGTCTGGAACAGGTTACCAGGAAGATTGATTTAGGTCAGGACACTGGACTCTTAAAAATCAGCTTGATGCTGCAATAGGAAGATGGTATGGTTGGTATTCTAGAGGGATGAGATCAAGTGTCTTCTTCTGAACTGATCTTGTGATCTTGTAAATTGCAGCCAGTGCAGATAAGAGCACAAATCAATTATTTGGCTTGTGCTTCAAATTTCCCTAATTTGATGTGATGCATAGTGAGAAGTTTAGGACAGATATACACTGCTCCAGATTGCTGGACAACTGTAACAGTTTCGCTCTAGTTCAGATTAACACAAGTTGAAATGCTATTCAATCAGTTGTACTACGTATGTAATATCAATTTAAATATGAGACAAGTTAAAACCTCAGAATTGTTGCTCACAGCATTCCATTTATTAACATTGGCTTAAATCTTTTTGAAATATAATCCCTGATATTTGTCTCTTTGTAACAGACTTTGGAGGAATCCTTGGTGGTCAGTGTAATGAAGAATGTTGAGGTAACTTCCAATTTAATATTGAATTGTTTGCATTTCAAGTTTATTGTTTCTTAATTGACCAACTAACTATTAAATAAACTATTTTATTATTTTTAACTAAGGAGAGTTTAAAAAGATCATTTGGAGGCTATTTGAAATTTTGAATACACACAAAAAGAAATCCTGAATTAAAAGGGAGCAAATATTGTTCAACTATGAAATTATATTTTGACATTTGTTGTAATAGAATTGTGGAAATGAGAAAAGCCTTTTCATAGAATCATAGAAATCACAGCATAGAAGGATTCCAATCAGTCAGACCATCAACATTCCCTTCTCCTTCATCTTTGTGGGAATGGTTTACATTGAATGTAGGTTCTTTCACTTCCTCCCAAGAGTCATATTCCTCCTTCAAATGTAACTTGACTACTGTTTTCATTTAGTCTTGCAGTTTCCCAGGCTTCAAATTAAATGAATTCACTGAACTGGCTGGTAATCTTGACGCTGTACAGATGCTGTGCTGGATTATAAAAGCCCAGAATGTAAGTATTTTGATGCAAGTCATTAATTTCCCATTATTTACTGAGGTCTTGTAGAATTTCTGTTCGCTGAGGTTTGCACAAATCCACTTGCTGGGTATCCATTCTGGCATTTCTCCTTGTTGTTGGTTAACGTGACCTCCAAATTATAATGTTGAATGAATATAGTTTACCAGGTGGAAAGTTGGGATGCAAACAACATAAAGTGTGAATTACAATGCAACTGCGAATAAACCAGACGTACATTTAGCAGAACAAATGTCGTAAGTTCCCTTTTTTTAAAGGTAATACTGTACTAACAATTCAGACTACTATCGCGGGAAAAAAGCATATTTTTAGCAATTGGTCACTTGATGTTGTTTATATTTCTCTCTTTGTTCAGCGGCACTGTACGTATACAATTAAAGTCTGAAAGTTGAGAATTAGATTTGTTCTAATTACAAACATTTTGTCGCACATTCCACATTCAGCATTTTACAGTTCAGTTTCCTCTATATAGTTTATTATTGCCAATCTCGTCCGCTTTGTATAGATTATTAATGCTTGTCTTTTTGAATGAAATTAAACTCGCGGTGAGTATAATTCCTCCTATTAAACCAGGTATTCTTTCCAGTATTGAACCATTAAGTATCAATAATAGTAACCGTTATGAATTTCATAACAGCGTTCATTTCCCAGAATCTGGAGGACGTTGTTCTTCTCCGAGGCATCTGCTGCCATCTTCAAGATGCTTTTTGGTGGTTTTTCCTTTCCAAGTATAAGGTACAGTAACTCAGAAATACTCGTTGATGATAATCAGAGGGAAACGGTGATTTCAAATAATTTTGGGTCAATTTTTGTGGGAGAATACTTTACGTATAAATATTGAACTGAAAAGATTGATGGAACTTTGCTCTTAACAAGCTTTTTTTTCATATTTTACCAATATAAAAGCCTTGCCAAGAAGTTCAAGACAAGCTGTTCAATAGAATTGCTGACAGTTTTGTGGCACTGTTTATGGGGACACCTCGCAAAATTCAAGATAAGTTCTTCTTGGTAATGTCAAGAAAATTATGTGATTGTAAAATTTAATGTTCTACCTGCAGACTATTATTTGCAGCTTAATTTAATATATATGGATATATATGCCTTCCTTTGTAATCACCACATTGCAAAATCTATTCCTCGCACTGTTTTTTAGGGGATACTTCAACTTAAACAGAAAATAAGCCTCTCAAAGTACAGTACATATTATATTTTTGTAATGCCAACAGGTAACTAGATGGCCATCGTTACTCATGTAACAATAATACAAACAGAAGCACCAAATGACGAAACTAACAACAAAACTTTCAAAGTTGAGACTGAATTCAACAATTTGCCAAATTCTGGACACTCTAAAATGCTTCATAAATAAAGTAAATCTAGACCCAAGTGGAATTCATGAACCTGTCATTTTGATCTCAGGAAAATTTAATGGCTATGATTATCCATGACATGTGCTTAACGGGTTACATTTAATCAGGAAATGGGGAAATGTCATACAAATTGAGCAGTAATACTCCTCATTTTAATGTTTGTGTGCTGATTGATTCATTACAACACAAGGATTGGATTTGTCATTTTAGTTGTACGTATTCAGTGCTAATTTGGCTCTTTCCATATATGTGAATAAATCAATAACTTTTTTTTAAAAAAAAGGTATCATCAAGTTATCTCCGATTTAGGTTTCCTGCTCTTTCGCATCTCCTTTTCGCACTCCCCTAAAGCCAAACACTGGGAAATGCATGAGAGGGGCTATGGACTTTACTGCTCGCTTGTCACCTTCCTACAACAACAACAACTTGCGTTTATATCGTGCCCTTCAAGCGGGGTAGGGTCCCGGAGCGCTTCACAGTGGCGGAGTCTGACAATGAGCCGGGGGAAAGGGCAGGGGAAGGTGACCGTAAGCACGATCAAAAAGGAAGGTCTTTGGGTGGGATTTGAAGGTGGACAGGGAAGGGGCAAGGCAGAAGGATTGAGGGAGAGAGTTCCAGAGTTTCAGGCTACAATGAGCTGAGCTGCATTTGGGAACTCATCGGAGGAGAGCTCCAGCTGGTGATCTCACTGACCAATTATAGTGTGCCCTGATGCTCCCAATCTATTGTTTCGCCCTCTTCCTACTTAGTATCTTGCATGATTGAACCCAGAACATTGGGAATTGAATCGAATCATTGCTCGCGTTAGAAAGAAAGCAAGTTTGGGAACCTGTTGGGCTGTAGCCAACCCTGCTTCGTTAAATGGTTGGCACGGTAACTCCAAGTCACACTTTTCCGGACGTCTGCATTCCATCAAACGCAGTTGTTTCCCCATCCAATTGCAAATAACAGATGTCTTTTATTGCTCAGCAACAAAACCAGTATTTGTTTCCCCAAACTACACTTTTTTCAATAACTTCCCAATGTGTGGCTTGACACAAACCCTTCATTCCCAAAATATGCTACAGTTGATGGATGGATTTCATTCAAGGTAGATACTTTTGCGATGCCCTGTCTGGGAGACATTCCACCCGGGTCTAAATGAAACCAGCCTGGCTATACTGGTAGCATTTTCACAACTGAGTCAGAAGGTTAAGGGTTCAAACCCCCCAACACGAATTTGAACTCAGCGGGAGTGTTGCATTGTCAAAGATTCAGGGTATCAGTCCCTTGCGGAAACCCATCGCCAAGCTTAAAAATATCCAAACCAAACTGAGAGTTCCATACAATCCCAACAATTTTGGGACGTTCCTGTATATGATGATAAATTTTTACACCAGACAATTATTCGACTTATCACATCTCCTGAGGTCTCCTTTTTCTTAACAGCTTTACACTGGCACTAGGCTCACTCCAGCACCTCAGCCAAGTGCCCATTATTCATATTTGAGACTCGGCACTGAGTGTTGGCAGGCTATTTGACCATGGGTGGGGGAGCGGGAGGAATCACTGTGATCTTTTCTCACCTGGCAGCCTTACATATAAATCTTCGGCACGATTTCTCGATAAATATTATGAAACAGAAGCTAGGCTTATTTTCACCTCCACGACTTGGGATATTGAGGCCAGTATTTAATATTAATAATAATAATTATTATTAATGTATTTAATACTGTATTGAATATATTATTGGCAGCAGTGTTGGTAGTTACGTAGGATGGTCTATTTTACAAAGTTAGTGTTTTTGATCTAAAATTTAAATTTTCTTTATTATTAGGAATATCATGATTTCTTAGCTCAGGCCATCTTTGCTGTTTTCTACAAATCTTTCCCAGAATCGCACGAACAGTTTGGTGCAGAATTTAAGACAGAGTTAACTGAACTGATTTCTCTGTGGTTGACAGGTATGATTTTCTTTCACCACCAGTCTATGCTATCACTGATAATGCATTCATAAATTCTCTGTGTGTGAATCTTTAAAGGTCTCTCTCCTTCCCCTCCTTAAATTACCTGTTTAACCCACTTGAGAACTTTAAAAGGGCGATGGGAGAGGGTTGCCCAGTTTGAATTCTGCTCACCGTCTTCATAGTAAAATGGGATCAAATTAAACTAAAGTAATACCCCACCTCTTCCAGCAGGGCTCCAGCTTAACCCAGATTTATAGTGGATGATTTGTGGGGTGAATTGTTTGCAAAATGGGCAATTTCTAAAAAAAATTGTGTATTGAATTCTGCTTTGTGCTATGAATTGCAGTCCATTTACTGGCCTGAGGGCATATGCTATAACTGCTGGCATGGGTAGCAGAGCATCTATAAGCACCATGTACAGCAGGACATTATTTTTTGTTTTGTCTGTTAATTTTATAAAAGTGGCATTTCACTTCATAATCCTCTCCCAAAAGCCAGTTGTAGAGCTCAGAACCTAACTCGATGCCAAGTTTTGAACACAACAATTTTTTTTTGGAGCCGTTTTTTGAGTTGTGCGAGTTTACCAGTTAATTAAACCCAACAGAATGAAGAAGTGTGTTTGTGGGGGAAGGAGGGATATTAGCTCATAAAAACACTACCACAGATTACTAAAATCCAGTGTGGTTCCAGGTCTTACAAAGTAAATTTCTGAGTAACCAATTTTGGTATTTTGCATTGAGGCTTCCAGACATCCTCAGCCTCCATACAATACTAAAAAATAATGATCTGAGGATGAATTACAGATGTAAATCGTGTGCCTTTCTTTCATGCACATACTGGTCCAAAACAACATTGGGTTTCATGAAGCACCACCTTAACATCATTATTCTGTGTGCAATTAGCTTAATTCAGGCTCTGGCTTCAAATAGTTTTTTCTGTGTGGGCCAAAGTGGCAGTGGTAACTTTTAGTGATTGAAAAAATGAAGCAGAATTATTGATACCTTCAGGAGTTGACGCAAGTTATTTACTTATTCCTAAAAAGAAGAATAAAATGCACTGTCCTACTTGATCTTACCTTTTTTGATGTTTTATTTTGCAGGATTAAAACCACCGCATTTGTCCTGGAAAAAATGGAACCTGGAATGGCTAGTGAATCTAACCATCGGAGCCAAAAAAGATGATTACGATGAAAAGGAAGAAGTTATGAACATGTTAGAAGCCAGGGCAGGTGCGTTGGTAGTTGTCCAAAATGTATTGCTATATTTTACTGCTTGATGTTTCCTTTGGATTATAATTCCAGTAGAGCTTGATGCTCTCAAGGCAGATCTTGATTCTGTTTTCATTGCCAAGTCCAGATGAAATACTCAAGACAGAGGCATGAAACAATGATTTTATTAAGACATAAGAAAGCAGGTCATGGTTCACATGCCATGCTGGAAATCAAACTTGTTTCATTAGGAGTTTGCACGCAGTCGACTAAGACAACTCGAGAGGTTCATTCTACGTCAAAGGTGTATATGGGTTTAAGTTGTTGTTGAGACAAGTATTTGTTTCAATTACAAGGTAGGAATTCTAGAACAGTATTCTAGAGCTACGAGTTACGGACAAAAGGTAGACTGCAAACACTAGGTTAATGCTCTGTTTCTTACGGCAGAAATAACATAAATCAAGAAATATTCAATCAAGAAAATGTTGTTAACCAAAAGATTACGGTCTTAACATTTATGTTTCTTCTCATATTTTGCATTCTTGCAAATAAATTTAATGTGTACCAGATAGGTTTTTATCAAATATATACCCTAAAATGTGGGCTGGCAAAAATATCTCCAGCATTATTAGACCTTTCCCTAATTAATAATACATCTTAGGACAGTGCTGTAATTTTCAACACTACTGTTGTCAGAATTTGTGCTAATTTCACATTTTGATTGATTTCATTTGTAAAATAGCACTACTATCAATCCTCCAGATAACCCTCTAGACAATCAGGGCTCCCTCTGCCTCCTCGTCCTCCTTGACCTCTGTTGCCTTTGATACCGTTGACCACTCTGTCCTCCTCCAATGAAAAGATGACTTATTATAACATTCTGAAAAGAAATCTGTAAAATGGACATAAGCCTTTAGGAATGTAAGAATAAGGATAGGCCATTCAGTTTGTCAAGATTATTCCCTAATTTTATTAGTTTGTGACTGATTTATTAATCTCATTTCCCTGTCTTTTCTCCATTTTCTTTAATGCCTTTACTTCTTAAGTAAACATTTATTCTATTTTCCCTTTCAAACAACCCAATTCTGTATCATTGGTCTTCTGGGGTAGTGCATTCCACATTTTAACAACTTTTTCTGTAATGTTTATCGATTCCGCTTTTCACCGACTACACTCTTAATTTTAAGATTATATCCTCTTGTTTTGGAAGCCTCTACCAAGCTTCCAAAATAGCTTTTTCGATCTGGAATTTTACGAAGTCTGGGAAATACGAAAAAAAAAACTCATTATGGTCGCCTCAAAGTATTTTTAATCAAAGTGTATTTGTTTCATACACTTTGATTTAACCACATTAATTCCTAGATCTCCAGGGCCATTTTTGTGGTCACTGTTCTGGCAATATAGAAGAAATGGGAAGGAGTTGCAGGCTTTCAATGAAATGCCACCCACAGAATTGATCTTTTTAATGCAAACTTGAATTGCCGAGTTCTTTTTACAGGGAAGTCACAGTTGACAAACAATTTTTTTAAAATTATACATCCCAGTAGGGATTCCTGATAACGGTCATGTTCATCTGCAGATTACATTTTAAGTTTAACCCCGTGAAGTGCTTTGAGACAACATGATAAGGTGCTATACCAAATGCATGGAAGATTATTATTCTGACTTGAGAGAAACCCTCTTCAAAAATATACTTGCATTCTATTCTGGCATTTGCCAGTGCAGAATTCCAGATTTCTTAACTAAGAAATAGGCTGAGAAATAGTGCGGAGTCTACACGATAGTGTGAGATGTTGGCATAGTAATAAAATAAATGTTCTACCAATAGATGCTCCAGATCTCTTAGTGGTATTAAGAGTGTACTTACATTCTCTTGAGAGAGGAACTAGGAAGTGCTTTCAGAATGCCTTTTGCCAAACACTTCACGCATTCCCTGAGTTATACGGTTGCAAGCATTAATCTTGACAGTTGATGGCGCTCCATCACAGCTCCTGTGGTTTTTTTTTAAATTGACACATGAAAATATGAGATAATATATGAAATCATCTTTTATTACAAACCAAAATTAATGTTTGTAACAGTTAGACAAATTAATATTTGTAATGCTTCAAAACACTTACACATTTCCAGAGGCGTTCCCGAGTCACTGTCGAATATTGAGATATTGGCAGCAGCAGCAACAACAACAACTTGGACTTATATAGTGCCCTCCACGCAGGGCGCTATATAAGTCTCGGAATGCTTAACAGTGGCGGTGCCCGACTTATCTTTTACAACATCCACAAAATAATATCGCTTTTATTTGCGGCATTCTGTTTTCAAATAGAAAGCTCTTTAGGCCTCCTTTGCACAAGACCAGTGTGTGAATCTTGTGCAAACGTCCTGTTCTTTTACTCACATTCAGTAGGATATCAAATTGTACCAAATCTTGAATTAAAGCAAAATATACAGATTTGATTAGATTTCCCTAAGAAAATCCCTTTCTATGTATAGGTAGACAATATTCAGATGTTCGCAGTTTCGTCAATGCAAAGGTATAGGTAGTAAAGCAACAGTGACACAATATGACCATAACTACAATTTCTAAATACGCTAAACTCCTATCTTGCACCAGAATTTTATGCAGGCTCAATGTGGACGTGCATTTTTTGAAATATATATATATTGCAATGTTTGGGTTTATGAAAATTGAAATGGAAAGATTCCTGTGATTCCTTTATGTTTTGCACATTGTTTATAGCCTTATTCTAACTGCTGAAGGAACACTTGTTGCCATTACGCAGCTTGGACCTAGTTCTCTTCTGTGTCTCCATTGAATTAACCATGCCCTTTCTAAATTATTCTGCATTTTATTCTCTGGCTCTGAGCACGTTGTTATCTGTTATTCATTTACAATATGTTTTAGGCAGTGTGGTCCACTAAATAAAATTGGCTGCTATACAACCTAGCTAGCCTGATCTCTAGTTGAAAAAAAAAGTTAGTTTAATAGACTACTACAAAACACAATGATTCAAACAGTTTGTTGAACTAACTTTGCACGACAGGATGTGAAATGGAGCTGTGATCGTTTTTGATTTATGGTATAAGTGTTTTCCCTGTTTAAAATTACTCCTTCGTGTCACGGATCCCTTGCTTGTTGTGGCAGATTTTACAATGTGTTCCAGCAGTGCTTGTTGGATTAAAATTGTGAACTTAGTCATGAATCCTGAAATGAGAAAGCCACATCTGGATTTGATTGATGATGCAGCCAAGTCTAACAATCAAATTGAGCTTATGACTTTCAGTTCTCTTAGCATTTTTCACGTTAAAATGTTGACGGTATGAAGAAAGCTGTCTTTTGTTCTTGCTGCTTTTGGCCGTCGGTGATGGCACACCCTGTAAAGATGATAATCGCAAATACAAAAAAAATTGAAGCATCGGAGCTAACTTTATGACTAAATTTATTTACCTGTGATCTTCTTCATATTTTTCCTGTCCAAATTGACGCTTTTGGTCTGACTGATTGGTTCGCTGAGGTCACACGGGAACTAAAATCTGTGTTTTGAAGGATTTCTCTTTCTTTCAATGAAAGAATTTCTCTTTTATTTTATAAAAGTAATAAAATACTTTCATTTTTAAAAACTTTTATTTTGAATCATGTCACGTTATCGTATTCTGGGTAAATGGGACAGAAATGCCAAAAAATTCAACCTTACAGAAAATATGAACGTTTGCATTGTCAACTCATGTGTTCGATGTGATGTTAGATTTTTCCACTGTCTTCTTCACTCTGTTGTCTCAAGCTTGCTTCATAACCCACCCCACCACCCGGTTACCCTCCACCCTTTTCGTCGATGTGCGAGCTTTCAGTCACTTTGCTCCTGCACTGTAAAATTTTCTCCCTAGTTCCCTAAATATATCTAGGATGATTCCAAAACTGTCAAGATTGGATGGAGTAGATGCCCAACAAAACCTGGGGTTATGGCTGCAGGATGCTCACTGGAAGACTGCTGTTTGCACATCTGTGTGTTTGCCTAGAATTTATGACTTTGGTAGTAACTCATCACATTGATAATTGGCATTTGTGCATCATTCTATACTTAATTGCTAATTTATTATTCAGTTGAAAAATGTAAGAAGTTCGGAGCGATGGCAATTCTTTGATCTAAACAACAAAGGAATAAAAAAAAACCTTGACTGATTGCTAGGTTATAATAATCCTGACTTATAATAGTGAATCTATGCAGTGAGTATAAACAGCCTTCTTGACCATGGAAAGCTTCATGTCCAGGTCCAAGTGTGCTTTCACCACATATCCACAGCTGCAGGCTTATCCTTTGGGGCCAGTGACGAGGAAACCAACCTTAGAGCGTGATTCAAGTTATAATTCAAGTTATAATGTTCATGCTTTGGAACGCCCTCTACCTTATAATAATAATAATAATAATAATCCTTGCATTTGATATAGCGCTTTTCACGTCGGGAGGACGTCCCAAAGCGCTTCACAGAACACACTGCAAAGTGAATTGACTGTATATTTGTGGGCGAACGTGGCAGCCAATTGCGCACAGCAATGTCCCACAAACATTCGTAGATTGAAAATGACCAATTTAATTATTGTTTTTGTTTTTTTGGAGGGATTATTATTAGGCTCTGTGTGGAGTAAGGAAACTTGCCCAAGGTTTCGCCCTCTGCCTGGAATTGAACTCAGGTCTCTCACTTGCAAAGCGAGTGCTCTAACCACTGAGCTACAGGACTCCACAGGACTACCTTACCCCTCCAGAGAGAGACACAGTGCGCATTCCATTCCAACAATTTATCTCTGGAATTTCCAGGTGTAGGTGAGATGCAAGGATTATCAGTTTGGCTTGGATACTCTTGGATACTCCCATTAACGACCCCTGACTGTTCAGCATTTTGGGACGTCCTCCTGACGTGAAAGGCACTCTATAAATGTAATTTTGTTGTTGTTGTTGTTAAGCATGGTGATGGGTTTCCATCTGTGTAAGATACCCCTGGCTGACCAAAAATATCTTGCTCCC